TCGGAAGAGGAATAATCGGAGCCACGTTCCGTGGCTTTGAGGACTAGCTGCAGAGCGACCAAGACCCCCACAAGTTCCGCCCCAATATCCGTCCCTTCTCCCGAAGCTGCAGGCCAATCACGCCTTTTTTTCAAAACCTCTCGGTCCGAGGGGTGCATCCCCGTGTTCATCAGGCACACACCTGGCTGTAGCCAGCGACTGTCAACAGCCAGGCCGACCAACTTTCCTTGAAAAAAGCTGCCGACCATGGAGATGGGCATTTATCATCCACCTCATCGGCTTACAGGGTGCAAAAACCCCGTCTTCGTTGTGTCCCCGTGATGCCTCAAGGGCCCTTTTGCAGCATGCGTCAGCTTCTTCAAAATAGCGCCACACACTGTCATACTGTCATCCCATTCTGTATCAGGGTCAAAACCCCGGGCTCCTGCAATCATCCCATCAGGGTCATCCAACCCCGTGCCAAATACAATGCGGTCAATCTCATACTCTTCAAACTCAACAGGGCAGGGCCGCCCCGTCCCCATCACCTGGGAATCGAATCCCTCTGTTCTTTCTTGGGCGACTCCTTTCCCTTTTTTCCTTTTCCTGTGCCCTTCTCGTTCTTCTCCCCCTTGTGGCTGTCTTTTCCGCTACTTGTGGTCCACCAGGCGCCCGACTGATGCGCCTGAAGCTCGGCCCGCTGCTCCGAAGTTGCGATCTTGAGCTCCTGCCTCGACGACAATGAGGCAGTGTCGCTCCTGCCTCGACGACAATGAGGCAGTGTCGCTAGGGAGAAGTTCCAGGCGCTGAGCTGATGTCCATGGAAGCCCTCCTGCCTGGGCTTCTAAGGACTTGACCCTCTGAATGAGGGTGTCCATCGCATCTGGCAGGAGCGCGTAGTACCAAATCGCCCACTGTACATAAGGTATGCAAGCAACTCCCTGTTCATCGCTCCTGTGACCTTGCGGCTGAGCATTTGGCGGTAGTAACGTAGCAGCGTGGGCATCCAACCCTCCCGTTGAGCAGACTGCTGACCTGCCTCTGTAAGCGTCAACTCTTGCATGTCCTCTATGGCTTGGGCCGACAGGACACTAGGGAAATTTAGGGCCACTGCCCTCACCCGTTGAGGCTCCCCGAAAATTGTTTGCCCTTTCAAACCCATTGCATCGCCACTGGAACTGCTTTCGCTGTCTCGCTTCTTGCTGCGGCTGCTCTGAGCATAGCGTTGCGCCCTTCTCCTCTGACGATTGCGGGACCTTTTCACTGGGTCGAGTCCGCTGCGGCCAAACATCCTCTTTTGATCGACCGGGCGGTAGGCTGTGGTTGAACTGGAGCTCGAAGTCGACCGGCTTCGCCCAGGGCTCTTCGCCCGACCTCTTCGGGATTTCCGTCTCTTCCGTTTCTTTTTGTCTTTCACTTTTGACTCGGCCTTCTCGACCTGCTTCGCGGCAACTGCTTCCACGCCTGGCGGTAGGTTTGGAAGGTCCTTCATGCGCCCTCGAAGTCCAGCCAGTTCGTCCCCTTCCCGGGGGACAGCACTGATCAGCACATCCCTCCATGGATGCCCTGCCAACTCGTCCAGGGACGCGATGATGCGATACTTCCTGCAATGATGCGATACTTCCTGCGTTGCACGGGTTCTTGTTTGCACTCGGCTGGACATAGATGTACGCGAGCTGGATGCTTGGTGCCCGTCCCCCATGTCAAAAGGCTCTCGAGGTTGGTGCCCGTGAGTTTCAGGTTGAGGTACCGGCCTGATGCGTCCCTTGACGTCTCGAGCACCTCCCCGCTGAACTGGCAAGAGGCATTGAAGTAGACGGCCTCCTCCCCGTGAACCAGGGCGCCAATAGCCACATCGTCCTCTCTCAGGGCTTCCCCGCCCCGATCTTCTTCGTCTGTAACGAGCACTGCGAGCCGTCGAAGTACATGAGGGGGCCGAGGGGCCCCTGCTGGTCGCCGGTTCACTTTCGGCGCCATGACTTCCCCTTGGAGGGTCGGCCTTTTCCTCCCTTCCCTTTGCCTTTCGCCTGCCTTTCCTGGCCTCTATAGACGTGCTGCCACCCTTTCCACCTCTTGATCGGAGCTGGATCACGGGAACGATAACCCGGTGGAGACACGGATGGAGACCGAGGTCTTCTTGGCAGTGGTTTGCGAGGCGAAGGTTTTGCAATCTGTCGCAACTCGAACTTCTCCGGGTGCTTCTCGACTTCGTCGTCCTGACTGCCGGCCTCCGGATCCTCTTCTTCTTCCTCCTCGAGGGCTTCGAATTCGTCCCCGACGTCGGGATCAGCCGCGGGAATCTCCTCCTTCTTCGGCTTCACTTCAGGGCTTGCCTTGCCCCGCTCCTTCTTTTTGTCGCGCCTGCGGCTCCTGCTCCGTCTCCTCCTTCGATGTCTCGATGGGGATCGCGCCGATGAAGCCTTGTCCTTCACGTTGGTCTCAGCCACCTCCTTTTCTGACCTACGGTCCTGCGGCCGGGTCCTCGTGCCCAGGGTGTTCCCCCGAAACCGGTTCAGCCTTTTCTTCTGGCTTCTCCTCCTTCTTTACCTGAGGATACCTGAGGTTTGTCGCTCTTCTTCACGACCAAGTAGCCCTGAGCGTCGACCAGCCCCGCCGTGCGATCTGCTTCGAACAGCTCGCAATCGCTCTCCAGGGTCGTTAATACCTGTGCCAAGTAAGAAATGAGCTCACGGCTTTTCGCAGTGGGATACCTGTTGCTCACCACGGTCTGGATCTTCTTGGCCAAATAGCAGGGATCACACCTCCCCGAAGTACCGACAGGCAATTCCAACCGGTTGTAGCACCCGCTGCAGGACATCTAAAGCCGAAACACTACGGAATAAGAAAATGCCGGTGTGTTACTCTTTAATCCCGAGGGCGGGAGACCATATGGTAGTATCTGTGTGATTTTATATATTTTTATATGTATGGTTTGTGTCTCCTTCTGGGCCGGGTCATGGGAAAGATCAATGGACTCCGAGGGGTCTTCTTCCACATTGAACAGGCAGCCAGCTTCACAGTCTCCTTGTTGGCTGCGGAGGCCATTGAATCGAAAGACCGTTAAGGCATGAGTTAAGGCACAAACCAGTGAAAAAAGGGATGATAACGGAAAACATGTAAAGAAAATGAAGCTGTCCTCGCCAGTAATGGCTGTCCCCAAGGTCAATCTTCTCTTCCAGAACGGAAAAGTCGATGAAATCAGGCCCATTGCCCTTCTGCATTGACCCGATGGTGCTGCAGTTTGGGTACAAGGGTCCGGTGTGAACCATGTAAGGCTGCTTGCCGGTCACCAGCTTGTAAGGGTACTCCAGAAGGGCACTCCCAGAAAGGAAGAGTGGCTCCGAATCGCGGGGTCCGGCGGTTCCTCCGAGAATCGCGTCGAGTTGGCCAGCTTTTCCATCCACGGGTGCCAACAAGCTGAGACCTTGCTCTTTCAGCCACTTATTGGCCTCCTCTGCTTGAGTGTCACGGGGATCCACTCCCGCCAACTCAGAGAAGATGGTGTACCAATCAGCCACGGAGACAATGCCGTTGTGCACATGTCCTCGTCGAGCCTCAGGGATATATCCGCCAGAAATGAAGGTTGTGGTCCTCACTCCTCCCTCGAAGTCGGAGTATTTGCCACCTCTCAATGGGTAGTTGTTGGCTGACCCTGGCTCATAGATCGGGCCTCCATTGTCGGTAGTGAAGACCACCAACGTATTGTTCCACATGCCCTTGGCCTTGAATGCTGCAGTGAGGTTCTTGATCGTGTCGTCCATGTACTTGGTCATGGCCATAAGCATGCGGCGATTCTGGGAATCAAATGCCTTTCCACCGCGCTGAATCACATCCTTCTCGATCTGTTCATAGTAGTACTTAGGCACTTGCAACGGTGTGTGCAGCAGGTGGAACGCATGGAACAAGAAGAGTGGGTGCTCCACATCTGAGGTATTATGGTTGTTAATGATCTGAAGCGAATGTTCTTCAAACATCTTTTCTTCATAGCAGTAGGGTGTTGGCTCAGTGCTGTCCTTGCACGCATCAGTCAGCGCTGCTCCTTTGTATGGCCCTCGGTAGGTGTGATTCTCGATCATCAGGTCATAGAATGCATTGAGGCATGTCGTGATTTCACCGGTTGCCTGAATTCCCGTCTTCTTGTTCCAATAATCATTGGCATGCTGGTAATAAATGAAGCTGCTATCAAATCCACGGCCATAAGGTGTGTGCTGCGGGGTTGCCATACCAGCATCCCACTTTCCGGTGTAGTGAGTCTTGTAGCCACCCGCGCGCACCTTCGCGCCCATGCCGGTCATGTTGCGTGGGATGCCTGCGAAACCACTCACCGGATCTTCCGGATTGGAAGCCGTCACAGCCACGTTCTTCACCAGGACGTGTGGTGCCAAGCGGCCCGAGAGCAAAGCCGAACGTGCAGGGCCACAAATACGGTAGGAGTAGTGGCGATCCAAAACGACACCTGACAGAAATTCGGTCGTTTCGACTTCGCATCACTCTGCCAAAACGGCCCCTCGATTCGCTGAAAGCACCAAAAAAACAACACACCAAGAAGTTTATGGCCTTACTCTGAAATCATGAAATCATTGACTGACTCGACATCGGAACGCTGGCCTTCGCTCACCAGCTGATTGATGGTCGGTGTCTGCACCTCTAGCTGCCCTTGCTTCTCATCTTCAGTTGTAGCACTGGTTCTGTGAAAGCCGATGTTGGCCCAACCCAAATCGTCCGCGAGAAGGAAAAGGATATGCGGCTTTGGCTTGGCCGCCGTAGCCTTCGCGTCCGAGGTGGGTGCAGCGATCGAGCCTTGCAAAGAACCAAGCAAGAAAACCAGCCAGCCAAAGTTCGCCATTGGGTTCAAAAGGATAATTACACGGCGAATGTACCTAAGTAGCCGAGCTGGAAATCTGGCGGAAGTGGGACATGACAAACATGTTCAATTCCTGCCAAACTCTCACCTCGTCCCGTTTGAACATTGATTCAGAAATATTCAGAATGATCTCTTGAGTCTGGAGTCCGGAGCGAGCCTTGTTCAGTTGGCTGCCTGAGTATGCCTTCCAGTCCGGCTGGGCAACCCAGAGCATAAAGATCAAAAACGGTTTGGCTGACCCGCTTTTGAGCATCGGAGCCTGGCTTCCGACAAAGGTGTTGGGGAACACCTCAGTTCGCTTCTCGCGGCTTGCGACCGCGGCGTTTTTGCAACCTTCAGTAAGGGAGACATGATCATGACATGCGCAAAGGATAAGGATTAAGAAGTTGATGTTGGTCCAGTCAGTCCCTTCAGGTGGTTTATATAGATGAGCCGGGGTAGCACTTACAGAGCAATGAATCAAGCTAAGGATGATCAAGGTACAACAAGCTCAAGGTGGGCCGAGCAGTCTAAGGCACAGGCATGTGGGCAAAAGGCATAAGGATCATGTTCTCCAAAATCATGGTTTCCATAAATGGCCAGCCATGGAATCTGGCGGAGTTTAGGTGATTTTAGTTGGCTCAGCACAGCTGCAGGGCTTTATGGAAAAAAACACATACAGCATCTATAAAGCCATATCATGTACATATATATATAAATAGGTATCATGACCTATTACTATAGATAACTAAATAACTATGACTATTGTGAACGCACCGACACAAGGCACTTGTTCGCTCGATATGGCGTAGCGCAAAAGTAAATGGCTTAGGCCTGCGTGAAACAAATGGCGGCGGATCAACATGTTCTAAGGTCCTGACAGGTCAACCCAAAGGCAAATGCACTTTCTCAGTGGACCTCTTCTTTTCTTGGTCTTTGGGGTTTTGGCTTTCAGGACCAAAGAATGTGACCAGCACCGAGGCGATGTCGCCTATCTTATCCAGCTTCCCGTCCCTGACCTTGTCTTCCAGGATCCTCCATTCCGCTTGAAGCTCGTTGTCGAACCTACCATACGAAGTCCGGAGTGGGTATTGTTCTTTCGAGAATCGTGGATTGGGGGTCCGAAACGAGACGGCGTTCCGGCATACGTGTATGCCATATGGATGCTGGACATGCCAACCCGGTCGCTCGGCCAACTTCTGTAAGTGGCTCAGGATGGGGTCATCCCCATTCAACACGCGGCCTGGAAGGACGGAGTTCCGAGCTTTTGCCAGCAAGGGCTTTGTAGGCTTCAAAGTTTGCTTGACATAGCTGGGATTGTATGTGATGCTCCAACTGCCCCGGTCCAAAACCGTTTTCAAATGCGTTGCATTCATCTCTTTGGTGCCGCAGTCTATGAGCATGTTCTCCGTCGATGTCCAATGGATCCTGGTGCAATCTTTGCGGAGCACCTCACGAATCCATGCAACCGAGAAAGCCAAAGATTTCTGGCTTCCATAGGTCGGTGTATCCGACACGCTCTTGTCGAACACGTCCTTCGCGTCCGACACCAAGCCAAGGGGCACGCTGCCAGCATAGCAACTGTCTCCTCTCAACACATCAAAGCCTTGGGCTTCTGCAAAGAGGCCTCGACAAAACATGCCAGCATCAAATGCCTCCTCTGAACCGAGCAATTCGGCGCCGAATGTGGATCGGCACACTCTGCTCAAGCGATGGCTCCTGGAGTCTAAGACTCCAAACTTTCCTTCACGGCCCTCCATGAGGTCACGATCGCCAACCAACACAAGGTAAGCCGCTTGGCTAAACACTTTGGTGAAGATGCTCCCGTCAGCTCCTCCAGAACGTGTCACGTTCCCCAACGACGCATCCGAAACAACAAGGATGCCAGCCCCATCCAAGCACATAGGCCCGAACTTCAACTTGAAACCAGCATCTTGCTTCATCAACCTCACCAATGCATTGGCCCTCAAAAGGGTCTTGACAACCGGAGGCTCTCCTTGTAGGACACTCAACTGATACCCCATGTCCCAACGCACTTGGGCCACAACCCATTGCAAACTCCCCAAGATCGCCCTCAACTGGCGATGCTCTGAAGGTGTGAGCTGTGCATCCAACTGCTTCTTGCGGTGAATGGGCACGGAAACTGGCTGCATGTTTTCGTGATATGCACGCATGCTAACTTCAATGCTTTTGTCAGGCAACTGTTGCACCAACTTTCCACAATATGTGAAGCTTCCAGTTTCCAATGAACCGAAACCCAACTCTTCACCCAATGCCTTGAGCGTCGCATGGGCTTTGGCCGTTCCGGCCATGAGCAGGTCATCGACGTGGCTCACGACGATCCCATCCAATGTTCCTTCGGGACTCTTGAGGAACCATTGTGCTGCATCCATGCTGCTTCGCACCCAACCAAGTCTTGTCAATGACTTGTTCAAACGCAAATACCAACGTCTGGGCGAGTCAGCTAACCCGAACACTCCTTTCCGGACTTTGGCTAGTCCGTGAGAGCTGAAAGGCAACAACGGCTCATCTGGTGACGTAGCCCTGATGTTTCCAATGTACAACTCACGTTCACCCTCCGGGAACAACTCTCCTTTGAGGAATGCCGATTTGACGTCTGCCGACCATAATGTCCATCCTTTGGCTGCAGCTGTAATGAACAAGATATGTTGTGAACATCTTGAACTTGTTGGCGCATCTTTGCGCACAGCATATGCAGTCTCGTCCTGATATCCCGGGATGACAACCCGAGCATTTGCAAGCAACGGTAGTGGATTGCTGTCCGACCTCAACCCATCATTCTTGTCGGTGTAGATGTACCTGGGAGTCAAGATTTTGTTCATCTGTCCTGCTGCCTTCAACCGGGCTCTGACCTTTTGAGCTTCAGCATCTGTCAAAATCTCGAATGCTCCATTGTCGGTCTGCACTTTCCAACCTGTCTCCGCAGCTTGGCGGTAGGCATCACGTTCGTGAAGGGGAATGTTCCTCCACTTGACCTCACGTCTGGCGGTTTTCGCTGCATTGACTTCGTGTCCACCAGAAGGCCAAAGCACGCAGCGCGTTTCATGTGCCATCCAAGAGCTCCTGGACGGCAAAGGCCACTGACCTGACCAGTTCCCATGATCCTGTACCTCAACCAGCTCTGGGTTTTGCTTGTCACGGTCGACTTGCTGCTGTATGGCTTTCAACGGGTGCATCAACCCATCACGAATGTCAGCTTCCAGGGTGTCCACATAGTGTGGTGACTGTGGCTCCACGGGACTGTCATTCTTGTGAGCTTTGGCATACTGTGACACTAAGTCATTCTTGGTCTTCAAAATGCTCTTGAGCACTGTGGTGGCAACATGAGCCTCAAAGCCAGAACCTTCTCGAAGTGTTTCTGCTTCCAACTCAGCTGCACGTTTCTTGCCCACGGCCTCAAGCTCTCGAGCCGCTTCAACTGACTCCTCCATTCGACTGCTCAAAGGTGGGGTAGCCGGAACCTGACTGGCACCGGTGATCAAGGCAGGCACGGGTGTGCCAGGTGCTGCACCACTCGATTGCCTTGAATGTGCTCGAGCAGCTGAGGACATAGCTGATGCTCTTCGACTCAGACTGGATGCTGGCAACTCACTTCCAAAATCCAACTGATTGCCGTCAAGGGCTTGAATAACCTCGGCTGGTGCAACGGGAGGCAAATCATGAAAAGGCTTCGTTTCGGGAATGGCTGGCATGGCATCTGAGCTCTCGCGGGCATCTGGCAATGCAGGTGTAATGGGAGCACCACGAACGGCCTCTGACTGTGGCCTGCGAACATCATGTAATGCTGCCTCAACACACTCTTGTATAGCATCATGCCAGACATCAGCTGAAATCTGTTCCATCGACGATGCACTCCGGAGGTGTTCACGAGCACACTTCGACAGCTGTCCCTTGAAGGACACATATCCAGCATTATGCCCTTCCAACGCAACCAACAAAGCCGGCACATGCCATCTCCTCAATGACAACCGCTTCTTGGAAGGCGAAGTGCGAGAATTGTATTTGGACTCCCTCCAAAAATACACAATGTCACCCGGCTCCAACTGTTGTGTCATCGTGGAGCTCCTAGACCTTGCCAATTCTGCCTTGCGAATCCCTTTGGAAAAATGGAGTCGCGTCATGGCAATGCGGGCTGTCTCACGTAGGGCAACTTGTCTGGCCAATGAAGGGCGGCCATCTATCAAACCATGCTCTGCCAACCTCTGACCAAAGTTTCCAAGAACATCGCCAATCATCCGTGGCTGTCGACCAATCGCTGCTTGTGCTGGGCTGACACCAAGTTCGTTGATATCTGCATTGTATGCTAGCACGCACTCTTGCAACGCAACTTTCATGTCTGCAAGCCCTGCAACTGAACGACTCTTGACGCAACACTCCAGCAAACCTTTCAGTATCCCACCTCCTCTCTCACATACACCATTGCACCATGGTGCCTGCACTGGGATGTGGTGCAAAAGGATCGAATGGCGGTCGCACATCTCTTGGAAAACCCAGGACACGAACTCGCGTCCCTGGTCAGCGACAATGACCCGTGGTGGGCCAAATATGCTCATCCACCTCTCTTGGAACCAGTTGACAATGCTGTCAGAGTCTTTTGTCTCCAGAACTTCTGCCATCTGAAAACGACTGGTCCAATCAATACAATGCACAATGTAGAAACGCTGCTCTGAAACATCAACGCTCTCAAAGATATCCAGGTGAACCTGGTCGGAGACATCTTTTGGTGTGGGCAAAGAAGTCGGTCTCCTGCTCTTCGGGCGTTTCTTTTCATCGCAAATGCTGCACTTCAAGGATTTGGCGGCCAACACCACCTCCTTGGGAGCTCCTGACAACACCAAGGCTCGGGCCAGTCGTCTGTTCGACCTGTGTCCAGTGTTCTCACGCAGACGCTTGACAGCTAGGCGAATGGCTGAAGGGATCTTTGTCTCTGGTGACCCTTCATCATCCATGGAAGAAATCTCTGACTCAGAATTGAAGGGGTCCATCACCGAATCTCCTCCATCATCTGACCGTTCCTCCTCCGCCCCATCAACTGCAAGCACCTCTCGACAGCGGCCATGATCAACATGAAACTGCTTCTCAAGACCTCTGACAATGGCCTTTGCAAGAGCGACCGGATAATGCCCTGCTCGACTGGTGATTCTGGAGCCACCAATAACCGGCTGGTGTGCATGGTCTCGGGAGCACACCATGCCTTGGAGTTCATCAGCAATGCATGATGATGATGTGGCAATCCTCGTAGGTTTCTTGTGCAACAAACCCTCAGCGCTTCTCAACTTGAATGCACACTGATCAAAATCAACACACTCAATGTTGGGCTGCTCAACAAATTGCACAAGCTCCGGAAGGCTCCATGCCAATGAACAACGCGGATTCTCCAATAAAACATGTGCTCCTCTCTTCAACTGAATCCGGGCCAACAAAAGTGCAAAGTTCAACAAAACTCTACCCTGTTGTCGTCTCTCGTCCAATGTGGAGCTGGCACGAAGACGTGTGAGCGGTGACCACGGCCCACATGGAAATGCAAGCACCAAACAAAAGGGGTCCTCCTCCATGACCTTTCGAATGCAAGCTTTTCTGTCCTCGGCCTTTTGGAAATCCCAACCACTTTCAAGTGACATGGAAGTGGCAGCACGGTGTCCTCGAAGTTTGGCCTGTCGAGCAACCTGGCTTGTAGCCGTGTAGATTTCACCAACCAAAGGTGGTTTGTCCGGGCCTTTCTTGATCCCTCGCGGGTCGGGCGAAGGCCGCTGGGCTTGAGCCACCGCACCAGCTGTTTGGCGCCTTGCCGGACCCTGAGAAGGACCAATCTCGACCCTCATGATGAAGTGCTCGTTGAAGCATTTCGACATGGTGTGATTCCAATCCTCGTGCATTGTTTGGAGAACTTCACATCGTGTCTTTGAGATCAGAGCTCGATCCCGGCAATGCTTTTCCCAAGCCTGGCTGATCATCTGCGCCAAACCTGGCTTCAACTCCTGATGCACTGCCCATGGATTCAATGGTTCAGGAACGGCCCCTTGAGAAGGTCCTCTTCGTCCTGCCTCAGGTCTCCCTGTACTTCCCAATTCAACCTCCGCATTTCCTCGGGGGTCATGAATCCTCCCTCTTGGGCGGCTGCAATCTCCTGCTGAGTCCATCCATGCGTCATGTGGCCGTCCATCTCGGAATCTTTGGCGGTCATGTCGTAGCGCATGGTGCCCTGAGTCTGAATCCCGACCGGCATTTGACTCCCCTGCAAGGACATCATGTGAGTCATGACCTGATTCAGCATTGCCTGGAACTTTTGATCTTGTTGCGAAAGAAGTTCTTGAACATCTTGCATTTTGACTCCTGTCCCAAGGTTCCCGACGGTAGTCGAAGGCGTCGACGGTGCAGGTCCTGGCAGAGCTGCGATGGTCGGGGCTCCCAAGGATGGAGCTTTGGAAGGCTTCGGAGGCTCCTCCTGAAAACTTGCTCCACTTGAACTGCTGGTCATCGATGACGCTGGAGCTTTTGCCATGAGTGCTTGAACCACAGGCTTGATGCCTGCTTTGAGCTGCTCGACAGTCGTCTTCTCGTTGAACGAGACGTGAAGCAATGATGCCAGCTTCTGGAGGTCGGTTTTGAGAACTGGTAAACCTCCTTTTGGACCGATGAGTTCCCTCACCGCTTGAAGCTCCTTGCCCTCCTCTTTGGCCTTGATGGCCAATGCTTTGGCTTCTGCCACGGCTTCTTGACGAATCTTGTTCGCCACTCCTTTTGAAGACCTTGCGGCCAACATACCCTGCAGCATCGGGTCCTCCACGAAGGATGTCTGCCATCCAAGGCGATCCCTGAGCCACATAGCTTCCTTCAAGTTTCCAGCTGTGTACGCCTGGCATTGAAGAGCTCTTTGATGATGGCGTCTGGACATGGCTCCGTTGGAAACCATCTGCTGGGCTTGAAGCTGCCACTGCATGATGCTGCTGATGGAAGGGTATGGAAATGGCGTGAATCGAAGCCAAGGCCGCCGACATAACCATAAGCAAATGCCGTGCACGTGCCATAGGAGTCTTGCACGGAGACGGATGATGATTCTCCTCCACTGGAAGGCGAAGCGGCCTTCGGGTGCCTCCTCCATGGATCCCAAGAGCAGCGGCTCGATTGGGTGAACTTGAAGTCGAGGTAGTCGATGTCGGGGTAGCTGTTGGCGTTTGAGCCATGCTGTGAGCCAAATCATCAAAACAGCTTCCATCATCAAAACTCACTCCAACAAGCTTTGCTGCGCAAACGCTGTGTTCCGACAACAAATGCTCATGACTATTTGTTGACAACGATTGCACTGCTAACAATTTCCGTTGAAGCCAATCTGAATGTGAAATCTGCAAAGCGACAACACCATCCTGCCCAACTCTTCGCCAACGCATCTTGCCTGGAATCGGCCACTCCGAGGGGATGAGCCGTAGTGCAAAATGTCCTGCAGCTAATTGTTTCAAGGGGATGTGATGTCCACTCAAATGATCTGCTCGCATAACTCTCTTCGAAAAGCTCAAAACGCATCCAACTCCATCCAACCAGTCACGTCCCAGCAACAATCCAAGACTCCCCACAGGAATAATGGATACCCATGTCAAAACCAGGTCCGTGCCGACAACCATGGGAAGGCGAATCCGAACTGAACTCTTCTGTGTTCCACCGTCACCGAATTTGAACGTCTCCTGCTCCTGGCTTCGGCTGACCAGCTGTTGAATAGCCTCAGGCGCCGATTGCAAAGCTGCTAAATAATGCTCAACCCACGCCGACCCACAACATGTCCGGTTACAAGCTGAATCCAATGCTCCCATCAAACGTTTGTCCAAAGAAAGCGAAGCTAACTGTCCAACATGAACCTCATGCGACCCTTGCAATGCTTCGACCAAGGTCGACGGTCGACTAACCCGGGAGGTGGTCATCACCTCGTGGGCTGGGGTGTCATCACCTTCAGCATCCACCGTCATCTCGGTGGTCAACGCTTCAGCAACTCTAACATGCTTTTGAGGCTTTGCCGAATTGGATTTCGGCTTGAACAAACCAGCACCGGGGTTTGGGCATCCATGGTCACCACTCCAATGCCCTTGCTGTCCGCAGTCCCAGCAACTGGATTTGGCTTTCTTGCCATTCACTTGATTGCCCGTCAACTTGGGCTTGTTCGGCATGGACGAGGATCCCTGTTTACCATATCCTCGATCCTTTTTGATCTCTGCGATCTTGTGGCGTGCCTCACGCATTGTAACCAACGACTCGGCTGCCTGCTCAACGCCGGATTCCAAGGCCTCTAGGACATCTGGTTCAAGTCCTTCCTCCTCCAAGGCTTGGATCTCGGCGGCAAGGACCTCCGCCTCGGCAGTGAGCACCTCCTCCAATGCCGGTCCGATCTGATCCGGATTGTCCGGAACAAGTTCTTCCTCATCGTCCTCACCCTCGGCAATCTCTTCAACTGGGCCCTCAGTCACCAAGGCACTTCGAGGTGGAGCTTTTGGGGAGGGTTTGAAACTCCTTTGTGAGCCACCTGAAAAGCTGGAATTCTTGAACGACCGATTGCCAAAGGACGAACCTCCACTCGACGGCAATGAGGTTCTATAGGAAGAGGAGGCTGAACCTTGGGACTGGTTGAGGAATCTGTTCAACAACGGTGCACGCTCTGTGGCCTTTTGGCGATGAAGAGGGTCCTCACTATGGAGGTCACGAAACAATCTCAAGCATTCACCCTCAACTTCCTCATACGATTCCCGGCCACGCAATGCAGTGTCCAACAGCTGAACTCTCAACGTATCCAATCCCAACTTGTTCCTCAGGAACCAGCCCAATTCATCGGAAGGCAGATTAATGCCTTCCCTTTTGAGCTCCGAAGTGATTGTCCTGAACCTGGAACAAAATGCACTGATTCGCTCTCCAGGTGATCGCCTCAACTCAACATAAAATTGTCGACGAAGATCACCTTTGCGGTCAAGGGTCGTTTTGCCCATCGACTCTTCCAATGCATCAACCAACTTTCGAAGCCCTTTCCAAGGGTTGGCTTCCTCAACAACAATGTCATCGCCAGTATCGGGGTCTTTAGCTGTCACTTCTTTTGACCCCTCAAGCTCTGATGGAAGAAACTCCTCGCACCTGGCCCTGACAATTCCTGTTTGTCTCAATGTCCACCTTGCAGCAACGTTGAATTTTCCACAGGAAATTGGGTCCAATGATGCAATCCACCATTCCATCTCTTTCTTGAACTGGCGGAATCCTGTGGGGTTTCCGTCCCACGTTGGCACCTTGTACCAAGCCGAAGAACCTTTGTCGTCTTCAGCCATTGCTCCAACAAAATGTCGAAGATGAAACTGCAGGCAAAGCAAGCCAAGAAAAAGGTTCAATGCGCAACGCAATGCTCAATGTACAATGTAGCAAAAAGGAGATGCAATGCAACAAAGTTCAAAGACGCAGTCAATGTCCAATGTACAACGCAACTCAAAAGGGCAGTGCCCACAATGTCAATGTCCAACGACGCTGTCAAGGACCAATGCACAATGTAAACACAAGCTGTACCTTTCAAGGATGTAGCCCTAGCAATGCAATGGCTTAGCCAACAACAATGTCTATAGAAGCTCACACCCAGCAAATTCCGGTTTTGCAAGCAACTGGGATAGAGCGCAGCTCACAACCAATCACCAACACAAACCAACTATGCAATGCGGAGTTCGGGCAGCGCAAAAGTCAAGGCCCCAAAGGGCAGCAACCAACGCACGCAAGCGGACCTTCAAGCTCCGAGTACCACTGTGAACGCACCGACACAAGGCACTTGTTCGCTCGATATGGCGTAGCGCAAAAGTAAATGGCTTAGGCCTGCGTGAAACAAATGGCGGCGGATCAACATGTTCTAAGGTCCTGACAGGTCAACCCAAAGGCAAATGCACTTTCTCAACTATTATATAATCGCCGCTGTCTGTCTGGTTCCCACATCCGCACAACGCCTGGAACAGCGGAGAGTTTGGGTCATTTGGCCCATATGGCCTCCGAATGGTGAGGGCAAGGTGCGGAGGTTGCACATGGGCATCGCGGCAACAAAGGTGTCAAACTTCTTCACTTTCCGATCTGAGTTTTGGGCACTTCCCAATCTTCATGCCATGCCTGCGCAGGCATTAAGTGCATTGAGGTCGAGCGAGTGCTTGGAGTTGCCACACCTCTGGCGTAACTCCAGTCCAGTAGAAGTTGTCACCAACCTAATGAGTTGTTAGTGACGCACTACCACAAAACCAAATGCAAAGCTAGCATGCAAACACACATTCGTTTGTTTGTTCGTTTGTTTGCCGTCATTGAGGCCGCCACCGATGCTATGAACAGCAGGTTCTTGCCTGCCTTACAACATTCCATGCCAATCTCTGATTCATCTGAACGAACTGCGCACGCGCAAGGTTGGATGATCATCTGGCCTTCTTCTGGTTTTCCACGAAGCCTCGGCATACATAAAAGAACGTATTGCGCAAACAAAGCTCGGGCATCAGTGGGCATCCAGGACAATCATCCCTTGCTCTGCTACTCTTGAGGGCAGGTCTCTTCAACTTCCCAGCCACTGCAAACTGGCAGGTGCCAGGCCTCGGAAGTTGTGCTTGGCCACTGGCCATTGAGCGTCAAGAGTGGCAATTGAGCATCTGACCCACCAGCTTTTCCCCAGTCGCCAATGATGATGAAATAGTTCTGGCTCCGTTGAGGATATACTGGAATCCTCGCCAAGGGCCAAAATTCACCCTGGGATTTCACATGTTCATGAATCTTCAGGACAGCAGGTCTTCAAGTCTTCATCATTTCAGTGCACGATGAAAAGCCCGGTTCCTCAGTGGATTGTTGGAGACATAGTTGTTGGCCTGCAACGGGCAACGGTGGAAATATATCGAGGCATGATAATTCTGTGGGTTGACAGTTGGGATTCGGACATAGCTCGCGACAGGCGGAGTCACGCTTGGACGAGCTGTGGGTCCTCTGGGCGAGAGCTAGACGCGTCCCGGGCAGGGCTTGATTTGCATGCCAACATACTAGCTTGATTCAATGAAAAAAAGTGAATGACTCTAATCTGGGCCTTTGGTTGTGGTGGGAGTGGTGGGCGTGGTGGTCGGAGTGGTCGGAGTGGTCGTTGGAGTTGTTGCGGTCGTGAGGGGAGTCGACCAGTCGCTGGCATTGTTGGTGGAATCCACCGTCCTGCATCGCTCTTATCATCTACTACACTGTTCGACTTGCTAAAGCCATCCTGAAAACTCAAAAAATACCTACTCCCATGGATATTGGCGACGTGGCTCTTCCACGACAAAGAGGTCATTGGTCCTTGTTGGGTGCATATACCTGTAAATGCTCTCCCAGCTTTCTCTCTGCTTCATGGCCTCGCTCGCCTCCAATAGCCCAATGAAAAATTCACAAAAATGGCGAGGAGCATGCCGCGCGTTGCAACGGAAGCACAAGCTAGCACAGGCAACCAGCAACTTGAAGATGGCCACCTAGCCTGGATTCTGCCTTGCATCTCCTGCTCGTGGCTGCCGTGGCTCACCTCTATTGAGCATGGACACGATGTCCACGTTGCCATCAATCAACTCTTTCCGCATGAAGCTTGACATACCATACTACACCGAAAAGCCTCTCCGCCACCCGAAAGAACGAAGGTTCGCCTCATTGAAGGTCAAGATGTCTGAACCTCCTGGGTCAGGTTCCAGCAATTATTCTGACCGACTTCAACCGTTCGGCAAAACCCAGGTTCAATCCGTCGGTCAGAACCCACCTGTGCTGCCTCTCAAGAGAAGCCAGGCAACCAGTACGACGACCTCTGATTTCAGGCTGCAGTGTACTTCACTGATCTTCAATTCGGCGACTTTCCTCTGGAGATTTGAGGTCTAAGTGACTTTGGGGGCCCAGCGGTCATGGTGCCGACTCCAGCTCCAATTGCCTTTGCTCGCCACTGGTCGGCACAACCTCCAATGCGCTTCAGGGTTTGAAGCAAAGGATCCTCTGCGTCTCAAAGGTTACTTCATTGCCGCGTGCAGTATTCATATGTATTGTATCATGTTGTGGTTTGCTGCAGACAAAGCGCAAGATTCACAAGCAAATGGTAGGTATTACCTCCATGTCTGACTGATTTGTTCGTCGCTCTTGGCGAAGTGGCTCCAGGGAAAGTGGCCCCACTCAGGCCAAAGCTCCTCAGTATCTTGGCTTCACCTTCGGAGTTAATCACAAGCAGCCGATTTGAGTGCCTGAGCAGGGAGACTGTCTTGGGGACAGCAAAGAACAGTGAAATGCAGCAACACCGTTCGCCCACATGTCAGAGCAAGCCGACGCACAACCGCCACGACTGAGAGCCGCACGTTGGATGCAGAAACGCTTCCGAACTTAAAACAGCAACTGTCAAACAATACAGCAATATTGACGTGAGCTGCGCATAAAAAAGATCTCACTAGACCTTCAAGTCCCGAGCTCTTCCAGGTCAGATCCAGCGGCACTCGCTTCACACCTTGGGCATACATGTACATGGCTTCCAAGGAAGGAAGCGACATGCATTAAATTGTGCGGAAGTCCGATTGACCCAACCTAGGGCATGAATCCACAAGAGTTGCTCGGGTTGAAGTTCCTCTTCGGTCACATCACGTGATCCACAAATGTCTACAACACTTTGCAAGCTCAAAACCATCTGATCGGCCGACCATCGCAGGGGGCAAGGGAGCTGGTGTTCATGTTGGGCGATTTGGGCGCACGCATCTCTGCGTCTCTCCGTTCATGGTCCCAGTGATATACATGACGATGTATTGATGGAGGCCATCGCTCTTAGGTTGGAGGCCGTTGCTATTAGGTTGGAGGCCACCACTACTAGGTTGGAGGCTATTGTTATTAGGTTGGAGGCAATTGTTATTAGGTTGGAGGCCATCGCTAGTAGGTTCTGAACTGATGCAAAGTTGCTGTAACTTACCTGAGTCCACTCTTAGGCTGTGAGATTCACTGTTGCACGGAAACTGTTCAGACTGCACACCAAAGCAACAATAATCTCAGTCTGAGCTCTTTCATGTCGAATTGCCAACTGCTGAGAAATACAACGGGCGGGTCAAGCCAGCAATTTGGTAAGCATTCCGGGTCCGGGAGACACTAGGGGCAGGGTTCCAGGATTCAGGACCTTCCAAAGCTAGAACAGTGTCCAAAACCAATATAGCCGGGTGATGCTGGGTGCCCTTCAGACTTGTGCTCAAGTGCAAAATGTTGCAATGGTAAAAATAACTTCGCATGTCATACTTAATTCTTGACTCTTGTCAAACAATTGCGGTGATCATCAGTAAAAGTAAGTACAGTAGTCAAAAAATGTCGACCATAGATGCGTAAATTGCAGACCTATATGCACAGTAGATTGCATGGTGCTGTTTGATCGGTTTGATGTTATTTGTGCCGATGACCTATCTGAGGCAGTCAACACACGGTCTCAGCACGCCATGGCCAAGGAGCATCCTTAAGATCTGATCTGATCTAAGACACCCGCTCCTCTGCAAATCGGCGGCACCATGCCTAATATCAGAACTCAAATTGCACTTGGCGAACGTGCGCAAACCGATCACCTGACTCCTTCGGTGCCCCTGGCAAGGAATGGTTATTATCAATAAAACCAAGCTTTCCACCCTTCAGCTTGAACCAGCCCCCACACAAAGTTACAGGTCAAACACTGACTGGCAGGTTTGGTGTGTTTGACTTGCAATCCATGACAAGGCGTAAAGCGAACCGCCTTTGGGGGGCCAAAAGGTTTCTGAGAAAAAACATGAGGAATCCATGAAGCGAATCATGCAGTACAAAGTCATAGGATTCATCTTAAATTATCTGCCATGATTCTGCCATGGCCTTAGCAAGAAAATGTTTGATGTCACACCTCAAGGTGCTCGCGGTCTTCCTCCCCATCTGCCTGGGCAAGGGTCCGGATTCTGCCACACACCGGTTGGCCATTGGATTCACCTGTGGCTAGCTACTAGTTTGATCCAGTTTGCGGGTCGGATTGTTAGGGGGAATGACTCACCGAGGTTCTGATCATGTTCCCCAAAAAATATCTGGCATCACTGGTCATGCCTTCATACGCGGTTCACTGTCCAGAGTGCTGTTCATCAATCAAGATTCTGAGACATGAACTCCAACAAGTGGCACAACCTCACAGTCAAAGCTGCAAGTTGAGTGTTTTAGTATCAGTTCATGCATGTAAATATGATTTATGCATATTTATGCGTTATATACCTAACTATCTGGCACATCAATTTATCAAACCCTGTCTCTGTATACTTATGTGTTTGTAGAAGCTAGTAAGTGTCTGTAACACATGTGTCAATGCACCACGCATTGTTATGTGACATGCAAAAGACGGCATACTTGGGGCCCTTTGCCAAGGAATGATGCATAGCATCTGCCTATCTTCTTTTGAGAGCCTAACGACACCTTGTTGTCGGTGTAGCCATCTCTGTCTCTGAATCTCTCTTTCTGTGCCTGTCAACTGTCTATTGAAAAAATCGATAATGTCCTATCAGATTGGCATAGTGCAAGTCAAGCAACTCCAGCCGGCCAAAGGGGTTCATTGTCAGCTGGCATTTTGCGGCTAGGGTGAAACACTACTGGCTGCCAAGTCCCAGCTAGCAATTGAAAGTTGTTCACTCTGGTTTTGGCACGGTTCAAGTTATGTTGACAAGCGTCCATGAGGCTTGCTGAGAGGTGGGATGGGCTGGGTCATTGCTGTGAAACTTGGGTGCAACTTCAAGCAAACTGTGGGATGGCTTGGCCTCAAGCCTTTGCAACCAAAATGGGGCAGCGGATTGGAGCGGTGGTAGCTCGCTTCGATGGTGGACTCACCACGGACACCGTTCCCTCCATCATTCAAACCAGCATGGAAAATAGTGCCGGGCTCACTGAGCTGAACCGTCTGACTACGTGCTACTAGGATAATTCATTTACCTATCACGACTTAATATACTTAATTAATTCCCTCATGCACGTGAGGCGTCACTGCAGTCCTTAGGCAACACAAGATGCCTCCGCGCAAACGGCACCCTGTGATCCTCTTAGTTTGCATGACCCATCATGATCCCAGACCTCGCCATGTTAAACAATACAGCAATAAAAGCCGCTTTGTGTTTCCAAGATATTCCGGGCGCTGCCAAAGCACAAAGACTGAGAGAGTTGCCCCATCTGCCCCTGCCGGCCAAAGTCTGCTGCTGTCCCGCTTCAATGGAACCTGGTGCTCCTCTTTGCCCAGGAAGTGTTTCACACTCAAGCGATTGGAAGAGGCGGCGCAAATGACACTCTTCACCCATCGTCTCATCAGCAGTGTCATGAAGACTTCCACCTGGCGGGGGCTTCAAAGGGTTACTGCGATTTACTGTATCTGGATGGCTTGATGCTAGGCCAGGCTTGCTGGCATCCAATCCAATCAAAGAAAAAACAACAAGGAGCCACTGCGTATGGCAGCTGCAGCCTCGAGCCCATCAAGCAGACTCCAGATGCGTGGTTTGTTTGCTTCAAATTCTGCTTCTTCGCAGCCACAAAGTTGCCTGTGGTGGACTCACCTCCATGCAAATTGACTGCACTGAGGACACCAGTGTCCAAGTCTGTTCATGGCGAAAGCAACCTCTAACTCCTAGATTGCCAAACACACCCACAGCACTGCCAATACCGCTGTAGCCGCTGACAGAACAGTACCCAGGCCCTGTCACCTTTCCAATCTTTTACAATGGATAACTGCAACTAAGGCCATGATCCACCCTAAGTTGCACCTTCTTCGCACTGATGCTGGCTTATGTGGGTGCCGTTCTGACAAGACCCTTCTGAAGTGACAGGCCCCACTGCGCGACCAGCAACGCTTGCTGTGGACATCTGTGGGCCCAGGGCCAACCCACGGGCAGCTTCATGAGGAACAGCAGACAAAGCCAGAGATTCGAGATGTGCCTGCAGCAACTGTTCGCTCAACCTTCTTGGCAGCACTGCCTTCTGAAAAAGCCCTCAAGCTGCTGGGCCATGGTTTCCCACTACACTACAATTAATGTACACAAACGCCTACCCCGAAATCTCGAACAGACTGGGGCCTCCATGCCCTGTCTGCAGCGTTTGTCCAGCTTGTCTCGTTTTGAAGAGTTCACCCAACAAGGACTCCTCCCGAGGTCATGGACAGGGACAAACCTGGAGCGATGGTCGCAGTTGCTTGCGTGGCTAAAAGTCATCAGCACTAGGCACTAGGTGAGCTATCCCTTACAACCTATGTAGCCACCACACAATACCACTACCACACCAACTAAACGGACGCCGGGGAACGCATCACGTCATCACCGCCATGCACCGAGCGTCACCTTGGAGCGGCCGATTGGTGTGTCCACACGGCTTTCGTTCTCGGTGGTGGTTGCGCCGTCCTTTGCAGTCTTGGCCGCTTTGAAATGGATCTCCTCCACCAAACCATCTCGGCATATACTTGTCCCCTCAACAACCTCACCTCTGGAAGAGTTCCATTTGTCCCTGAAAAATGCCTCAGATTTCCACCACCCCCCCACGCTGGCAGAATTCTGCTCTCCGCCATCGCCTCCTCCACCTTCGCGTCCTCCACGACCAGCGTTGTTATTAGTACAGTAAATATTGAGGCAAAGGGGCTTTTGGCTTGATGGTAGCGGTTAGACTTCTCATTGTACTGGGCGAAGTCCTGATCCTTACCGTGACAGTTGGTCTTTACACAGCACCGCAGTGGATTCCAGGCGTTGGCGATGGATTCTGTTCTTGGGCCGATCTCAACATGTACATGGACCCGCTTTCCATCTGCCAGCAGCACCTCTAGTCCCCTGCGCCAAGCTGCTGGGAGCTCTCTGCTTTCCACTTGTTCCAAATGCTGGGCATCATCCCGGCAGGGCAACTTTGACTGCAACGGGTCTCTTGAGGACTGTGGCGGCTTCAAAAATCTGAGTTTCCACATTTGGGTACCCTCATGCCCCCCTGCCTCTGCAGGTCCTTCAAATCTTCCTGGCTGATACCATGCTGTTTGGTACAAATGCATGACCTTGGCCAGCAGGCGGCGTTTGATAGGCATGACTTTCGGGTTGTCATCCCCATCACCCATTGCACCCAGCTTCAGATCCCTTCAGCTGGTTCGTCAACACAGCATGACAGTATGATACAGTGACGTCGGGCATTGTTGCTCTGACATGCAGTTGAAGAGTTCTCCCACGTTGATCACCTTCAACACCTCAGTTAGAAGAGTCTTCGATGGTTTTGTAGGCCGGAGGGTGCTGGCTTGAACCGATCAATCAAGTGACCTTGAACGCGCTTGCCACTTCTCTCCTACACTGGTCGTCTACTGCTGAGTGAGCTCTCCGTGCAGATTCTTCGACCAAGAATGACAACCTGGGAGTATTTGAAAACATGTGAAAACAAGGCAAAATATGTCAAAATAAGAAACCTTCAAGTTCTTGTGTTTGTCCTCTCAGCTCCGGAACGGGTTCTGTGCAGCACAACCCTCGCACGTCTCATTGATGTTGTCTAGCATGTTGTGGGGCCAAACTTGAAGCACCACACCAAAGTAGGCAACATTTACAGTACTTGTGCCATCTAGACTGGCAAAATCACCAGAAAGCGAGGAAAAATTGATCTGGACAAGATAGATTGCACTCTATGCAAAAAGACGTCCGCTCCATGTTCAGCGATCAAATGAATAATTCCACTAGGTTCGAACAATCAGAATGACTTGCCAGGTTTCTTGAATTCCACTGATTGCATAAGGAATGTAAGGCTCATGACAATCTTGGCATATGAGGACTGATATAGAATATGTGTTATATATATATATATAAACTATGTAAAGATTATATAGATTTCACTGGGGGAACTGGAAGGGAGAAGCGAAAAAGAAGGGGAAAGAAGAGAGAGAGAGAGAGAGGGAGAGAGCAGACCAAAATGAAAGAGGAATCAGAAGAGAGGAAAGAGCAAAGCAAGGAAAAAAAGAACAAAAATATACAAAGGAAGAAAGAGGGAGAGTAATTACTGTAGAGGATAAAAGACAAAGGAAAGAGGAAGGGAAAAGCATGAAGGCCCAGAAGGGACCTCCTGTGGATGTTTATGGGGGAGGGGAAGGGTAAGAGAGGCAGAGGTGGGAGACCTAGGATGAATACGATGAATGGGAACACTAAGATGGCACGTGCCAGGTGATGAGAGGAGTGCAGCGGATTGCAGCAGTTGCAGTTGAGCACATCGAAACTGCATGCAAGCCGTCAAACAGGTGAACAAAGTGGTAACATACAGTCACTGGCAGAATCGGCTGCTCCTCCTTTTTTGACAGTTGTGAACTCTCCGGACATGGGCGTTTCTAGCCCCGTCTTTGTGGCATTGGCATCTTGTCAAAGCCCCCGTGAAACCACATGAGACTTCATGAGACGACTTCAGGCGTCCACTTCCCCAAGCCTCGCTGTGTGGCAGCTGCAAACGCATCATCACATCATCATGCCATTCTGAGAGTCCCTGAGGCCATCGCTCGAAAGGCGGCACAGGAGCCGCGTGGTGTCCATCTTCAAGGCGCTCCAAAGCTGCACCTAAGGGGTCGCTTGTCACGATCAAGCTTCTGCCTGAGGCAGTGAGGTGGCCACTAATTCCGGCCCTTCGCCATCGCTCGCAAGCCTGCAAGGATCAAGCCGGGCCAAATGGGCTGGACAATGCTGGACATGCATTCACAACATGTAACCCCTACTGGCGATGTCCTCCACCTATGGATGCAACGGGCACAAGAATCAGGAAGGGGAGCCCCAAACACACACATTGATGTAACACAAGAACTGCCACTCAGAAGTCTCAGAGTCTCAGAAGGGCAAAGCTCAGCCAAAGTTTATAGAAACCATACGATCCATACACTGCCATAATGTGACGGTTGCAAATGTTGGTCGTTGCAGCATAATGTCATGGCATTGGCTCCTCCTGCCCGCGCTCCAACAGGCTGTGCATCCTCAAGGCGGGCGCCACTGGGTGCACCGCACCAGTTACGGACCGACGGGGGCACCGAAATCGAGAGTCACCAAAGCACAGTCTCTATCAGTTTCCTGGAGCACAGTCGTTCCAGGTCCTTGCACCGGTGCCTCCAACGGGAGGATTTGGGCGAATTCCACAAGTAAGCTTTCACATCATGTCCACTTGTTCCACTGCAAACGAAATCGAAAGATGTCGTCTTCAAGTCGGTCGTCGGTTTCACCAGGGTGACTTGAGAGAGAGCGCTGACCCCTCCTCAAGTCCAACATCTCAGCATCTATTTGTCGAGCATCCTGCCGGACCCCAAATGAAAGCAAGCGACTGTCGTTGGCAAAGATCCATGCAATGCCGAAGAAGGGCATGTAAAAATTACGGTATCGTGCCATGCATGCAACATCATGTAACCAGCCTGGATGGATATATTGTAAATCGGTGAATCCAGGAACGAAGCCTGAGACTTTCTCTCTCAGGGATTTTCACTCAAATGCCCAACGAGCGCTGCACAGAGAGTGAGCGACTCAAATGTCGGGCAGGGGTGGCCTACAGCAGTCGCACATTCCATTTTTTGCAAAACCTTTGCACATTGGCCCCATCATGCCCCTTCTACACCCGTCTTCACAGCGTCACCAAGCCCTCTGCTGTATATGGCGTGCTCGATCTCACTTGGACAGAGAGCTCGAGCACCTTGTACAAACGTCTCAATTCTTTTCAACACGTTTCAACACCACACACGCTTGCCCGGTGGCTCTGGCCTCATGTCGAGCATCAGCACCTGGTTGTGATTCCGGTTTGTGCACCATACGATTGAAGGCGCTAGGATGCTCTAGAAGGGCCTTCTAGGTGGCCCTAGGCTCCGGGCATTGTTGCTGCACCCGAGCGCCCTGCCAAATGAGCAAGGCGTGGATGGTTAACAGTCCATCCAAGTCATTGGGTCCCATATGGTCCCACAGGGACGTGGCACCAGACCGACTGGATCCGACTGGTTGAACCACCTGGAAGTTTGTACATGGTGGACCAGGGCTCCAGGTGTTGACCCATGTCCACATGGTTCGTCCAAGTACTTCACACAGGGACTGGTCAATTTGTGTTCTTCGCCTCTCGTTGTCTTGCAAGAAGCTGCTCTCTGGCATCATCTCGCTCGAGCAGCATCCTACATGCATCATCTTTCAACCGGAGTGCTTGCACATGCTCAACTTATACTTGACGCCTCCTGCCGATAAACTCATAGAGTCTTATCTATAAACATGTTTGAATTTGTAGATGCAACTCTGGAAATATGACGACACGTGCTGTTTGCTGGCATGCCTTTGACTTCGCCGAGTGGTTTCCTCAATGTTGTGCCTCAAGCCTGAGAGGGACAGAACTTGACAGAACAAATGAAACGAAAGGCTGTCCAACATGTTACTGTACTCCACAATATCTTGTCCAAAGAGTGTGTTCCATAAATGTGTTCCATGGCCAAAGAACTTCTGATCTCTTCCGCGTGGTAGGACTTCAGATCTGAGACCTCGGTTATGGCTGATTGGCTGAAGGCCCAAAACCCTGCTTCCTGATGATCTTGCGGTGAAGGAAGGAACATCTCAGCTATACTGATTAGTTCCCTCCTTCCACATGCCACTTGGATCCAATTGGGATGTCAACAGAATCTATGCTTCTTTGGCTTTCTTTTTCAAAGAGCTGGATACGCTGCTGTGCCATGCTGTGCCACTAATTTCTCGAAGCTGCACATCCATCAGGCGCATTGATTTACGCTGTCCATCTCTGTCCCGTTGGAGTCGGCAACGGATACCAACATCCATGTCCACCGTGTTATCGCTGCCCTTTGTTATCGCTGACGGCCAGTCTCACATCGTCGAACCGACAGATCCAGGTGTTTGGGGGCAGCTTCATGGTCTCAAGTCGTTGCTTTGTTGTCAAGTCGTTGCCTTCTTTGTTCTCACGCCCTGACGACCCACCAAACAGAATCAGAGGACAAGCGGATGATTGGCTTGCCGCCTTCCGCTTCTAAGGGGAAGCGTGTGTAGTCATTGCCATGTGGGCCACACTCCAGCAACACTGCCAAGGACACTGCCGCATGGAAGAGGGAAAAGTCATGTCCTGCAATGATTCCTCCCGGCCGAACCCTCCTCTTCCATACTTGTATGTCTCTCTGTGCTGCTTCAAAGGTATGATCCCCATCTATGAACACCAAATCGAAATAATCCAAACCTACAAAGCCTGCTGCTTCCTCTGAAGTCTTTCGAATCAAATTGACCGCGCTTTGGCCATCTCTTTGGAAGGCCTGTTCTTTGTGTGCCCACCACTTGATATTTTGGTAGTACCCTTCGAGAACTGCATTGCTTTGTGCAGATTTACCCGCAATGTGCCAGGGGTCCACAGCTGTGTATTCTTGTATGGCTGGGTCGTGTTTCATCAAATATGTGATGGTCATCCCCTTCTCCACTCCAATTTCAGCCACTCGCAAGCCTCTGTCCCGTTCGGAGCGTGGAAAGCTGGAAAGGAGATAGAGGAGCACATTCCAACGCTGTCCAGCAATGGGCACATGGTAGAAAACGGGGGATGTGTGCCCCAGGAATTCACTCAAAGGTGGCATGTTGGACAAGACACGGGTGACCGAAAGGCTTTGAAAGGCGTGGTCCAGGAAATTGCGGACTTCATCAGCCGCTTGATCGATCCAAAGGTGCGGCTTTTCAGGCGTGCTTTGGTCTGCCAGCATCGGAGACCAAACTCGGCAAAAGTGCGATGTCACACGCCCCATGCGAGCAAGAGCGCGAAAGCGGACTTCTGACAATCCAAGGCCAGTTTCGAAGGCTTCTGCGGCTTCATCAAGAGGCATGTCCAAACACAAAGACTTCAAGGAATGCCCCGCAAGTGCTTCGTGGGAGGCGGTATCCAAAGTAGTGTGGGTGGTGCAGCTTCCCGCAATGCAACTCAGTTGATGCAGCAACGAATATGACGCCAATTGAGCATAGAGCAATGACATGTGCTCGCAAGTGTCAAGTAGCAGGCGTTCTTCCTCCATGCTTAGCTCAAATGGCGGGAGGGACAAGTCATACGAACCGTCCTCCTTAACATTGAAGCTATGCAGTTGGGAAGAGGCAATGGAAAGTGCCAACAGATCTTGCACACTATTGCAGGCAAGCCTCAATCTGCCGGCAATAGGATCCAAGCTGAACTTGGGGAGTGGGAAAGGAAATTGCGACGGAAGCAAATCAAAAAACTCATCTTGATTGCCTGGGAGGGGTTGCACTGCTTGGCTGAAACATATCAAATCCATTACAAGCAACCACACCAAATACCATGCTGTTAGCGACATCCCGGTAAGCCATGAGGCAGAACGACGAACAAGAAAACGGGCCGACGTTTTCTAGAGCCAAATTGTCAAGGCAATTCTTGTTCGACTCATCCACAAAAACATGTAGCATTTCGGTATGCAAAATGCTCGGCAAATCTTGGGAGCTGGGCTTGAGCGGTCCACTGGACTTCCATGTTGGCGAGCTCCTGTGGATCGACTTGGAGTCGACTCTGGGCCAGGTCTGGCTGGAATAGTGAATAGTCCGAGTGATGGACCCAAGACAGCCCAGAAGAGCAAGCAAAAAGCTGCACAAGAGCTAACTATAGTATAATATACGTATAACGTATATTTTCATACGCAGTATATATATATAATTATATAATATATACATCCTAGCCGCAGCGGTTAATCTACACTTTACAGTAAGCCCCCTTCGCTCTTTTGCTGCACAGTCCTCCAATTGGGTCGTCCGGAGGGTGGAAAGTTCCTCGACCTCTTTGCCAACAAAATACTCATGTCAATGAAAACAAAACTGAAACAACCCCTTGTAGTTTCTCTCCGAATATCCATGCAGCGGCCTGAGCTGCTTTCAGCTCGGAGACCTCAAAGGTGCACGTTCGCCACGTCATAGTGCTAACATGGTTCTTGGAGTGCTTTTGCGTAAACATTGTTGCTCCAAGTTTACACTCGAAGGATCCTGCCATTTGTGGCAGTGAAGCCTCAGGAGTCGGCAGAAAACTTATGTGGTGGGCACAAAATCGGCACTGAACTCATGTAGTATGCTGAGGCTTAGGCCTTGCAAGTTGCCAATCGAGCAGCGCGCTCTTTGGCCCCCTCCTGCTTTGCTTGTGCTCAAGAATATGTCTTGATATGTAGCCTGTAGCCTCCAAAAGATCACAGCAACGTGCATGTCTTCCTCTTCAAGATCCCCCACACCAACAAGAACAATTCAATATTTTTTTACAGGTCCTATCGTGAACAAACGTGAAAACGTTCAAAAGCTTCTTACCAGCAAAGAATATAGGACGAAATGGATCAAACAGGCAGTTGAGAATCCGGAAGTGAGAAATGCATTAAATATACTGTACTGTAGATCTTGCACAATTGGATCCCGTAGATAGATCTTGCACAACTCACACCATGCAAGCATAGCAAGTGTGGCTTGCCGAGGCCTCGCTTTTTGCGAGTTGCTTTCGCAAAGTATTCAACTGCGACAGCTGCGGCTCTGCCTAGGATCGTGCTCTCTCCGAGCGATGGCACGGGCAAATCACATGGAGCACCTGCGTCTCCAGCCGCTTCAATTCAGCCTCCCAGCGGCAAGCAACTTGAAGAGGCTGCTGGAAGAGCCGTGCATGAGCCGTGAGGGTCGAGCTTGCAACTGCTGCAGAGAAGAGCGCAGAAGTTCGACCTCAGGTTCCCGATGGTTCTCAAACAAACCGCAAGCTGACTGTCAAGTGAACATCTCTGGGCCATGAGCTCCCTCGCTGGCCTGCCAAATGTCCCCAAGTGCCAAACACTAGATTTTCACAGGATCGCAAGAACTTTGTGAACTGGGAACGGCACCTCTTCACAATGGTTCCGCTTTGCGTCCTACAACTTTCTACTCCGCTGCAACTTTCAACACGTCTAACACCAAGTACACCCTGGTACAGCACCTTTGTTCACACTGATGCCATGTGCTTTCAATGATCCATGATTTGCACGAAGCACCCTAAGGCACGGTCCAAGTGACGGAGCTGCTCTACTTGGCGTGACCTCTGCATGTTGCACAGGTCCTGGTCCTATATATATACTCATTATTTAATAGCAATGGCCTCCCCAAATAGCGATAGCCTCCAACCGAATAGCGATGGCCTCCCCCTAATAGCAATTGCTTGTCCACGGCAAAAGCCACACTGAGATAAGGGCTTCTGTTCTCTAGCAGCTCGAGCCTCTTGATCAGCTTGCTCTGCCCTTCGGCGTAGCTCACTGCAAACACCATCCTGCATTTGGCGTTCACAGCTTTGCAAATTTATGCCCTTCATTAAGGCTGAGCCCGGCCCGAAAATTGGCTGCACAAACCTTTTCAAGCGATTGACAGGGAGGCTAGATGGGCTTTGCCCAACAGTCTCTTTGTTCATATGTAAATTAGCAGCCACAAAGGGTTGAAAATTGCCTCTGCGGACTATGCTCAATTAACTCACTCGTCTTCAGCTTCGTCCTCTTGATCCTGGACAGCCACTGCACGACAAAAAAAAAGGAAACAAAGACAATATTTATCACTAAGTGACCAACCAAGAAAGCAAAATGGACGCAATGACACATAACTAGAACTGAACAATGCTATTGCTATTGAACTGAGATCCAGACCGCCAAGACATCGCTGAATGCTTCAAACACGGCCCCAATTGGTATTCCGTAGAGCCTCGGCTGATTGCTTCAGCATTACAATCAAGGACCGCAAAGCATTGGCAGCATGCCGAGCAGCCCGATACCAACGACCTCAGATCCCAATTGTGGATCGGAGCAGGCAGTTGCTCTCCAATGTGTCTGTCTACCTGACTAATTCCCATTGTGGCTTGCTGTCCAGGTCAGCAAGGAAGAACTGTGCACTATCGCAAAGTGTCCGACACAATATATGACGCACACAATCTTTCCACCTGCAGGGCTGGCGTGTTTTTGCAGCTGTGGAGGTCAAAGCCTGATGACTGCGGATGTCACTTGCCGTTGTTCATAAATGGGCCTGGTGTAAAATCAACCTTTGCCCACTCTCCGCCGAGGAAAATAATTGTGAAGTACCTTGGCAAATTGATTGAGCTCCCCTTCAAAGGGACTCTTCAAGCATAAAGGGCGACAAGCAAATTAAGAACTGCACATGCTGGATGGCAAGTCCTAGGTGACTCCATTGGATCACGATGCTTTCCGGAAACGCGGAGATCTGAACGAAATGACGGCCTTGAAGGCTCCTTCCATTGCAGGGTTGTCCTGCCGGGGCAGGTCTTGACGCAGGTCAGACGAATCTGCTCGAAACAACAAAGACCTTCGGCTCCTGCTCGAACTCATAGAACAGCACGGCACCACAGACCCAGACCAGCAAAGCCATAAACCTTGAGAGCCCGAGCCCGAGGTTTGATGGCCCGCGCGAAGTAGGCGTCTCTTCATGGGGCCATACCCGTGGGCCATCGTGAGCCCCCGACCCTGTGGCCACCATGGTTTCACGGCAGCTCCGCCATGCATCATCAAGTAACGTGAAGCTTTCAACCTAAGCCCATGGAGAATGGACGGAAATGGTCAAGATGTTTCGAGGTCATAACAAGAGAGAGGAGAGGTGGAGAAGAGATTCGATGGGTGTAATTATATATATATGTATTATATCGTTAATAGCGTTGCTTTATCATCTTTATCTAAAGATGTGACTGAGGCAAGACTTTGCAAACAAGAAGGCCACCACCCACTTCTGAAAGCCAAGGGGCAAAGTCTTCCAATTGCAGGATGCGAAGCAGCCGTGCAATTCGGAAGATGAAGGCATTGAACTGCAGAAAACCGTTGGGCTCAAGCTGCAGAAGCTGCTCATGCAAGCATGCTCCGTCATAGCCAAGCCTGCATTCCGCTCAGGTACAGTAATGTCCTCAGCAATGTCAGCGAATGCGCAATCGACGGGCACAAAGCACATAAATCATGCTTCCGGTCCCAATGGTGTGCCTCTTCCAAACATCACCTTAAGCAGTTTATGCTAATTAGTTTATATATTTCAGTCCCAGAATGGGCACCCGACTGGATCCAAAAGGGGGCCACCGTCACCAGATCCACAATGCCGAAGAAAGACAGAGTATAATTCCTACCTGTCAGCACCGCTTTGCGCAGTAGAACTGGAGACAAATTTGAATATCCTGAGGCCACTGCGCCGGAAACAGTACCTGAACGTTGCAAACGCAATCCCACATCCAAGTCAGTGACAGTTCCAACATGATTCTCGGCATGGCCCAGTCGGAAAAAAAAAAAAGCGCCTGACATTGGCATTCGCAGACCATACATTGGCCAGGTACTCGAAGGTGAACAGGAGGACACTCACCAACTCGAAGCCATTTAAAATGTCTGGCCCGATTGCCTCCAGGGGTCGCACTGAAGGTGAACTTCGAACACGGCGAACTCACAGCGTGTCACAGGTCACAGAGGGATCAAAGTCATCATCTCATATAAACCATGCTAAACCTGCGGCCTCCTTGACCCAGGTCATGCTTTCGCCAATCACGGCGAGGACATTCAGAATGATGAGGAGCAACATGGTCTGCATAGCAGGTCCCACAAGCAGGTACTGTGCTTAGTACTTACCATGTTCCGCTCTGTTTTTTCATGTCCATTGGAGTACTGTCCTTGGAATGAAAATGCCTATGCCCTGCCCAACCTTCTTCCAAACTCGTCCTGCCAGCGTCTTTTTTTCCAGGAAGTCCACCAGCTTGATCTTTCCAGGGTGGTCCTCGGCCGGGTCACCCACTAAAGCCCACCATTCAAGCCCTGCGAAGCCGGCTTGCCCGCTCCTTCTTGACCGAGTCCTTGAGCCTTTTTATGGACATGCTCTGTGCCTGCCAAAGCAAGCTTTGCAAGTCTTTTGTGACAAAGCTTGGTGTCCATCGATCTCTTAACAAAGTTCACTGTGTGATGATGCCAGCTGAAAAGTTCAATGGCTTGCGTAGCTCATGGAGAACATCAAGAAAGCTGCCATTGGAGGCAGCTGAAACCAAGCAAAGCTGGAAATAGATTTGCTTAAAACGCTAACTGCAAAGCAAGGAGAGCTTCGCGGTTGGTTGGTCAGGGATGAGCTGCTCTCTCATGGCTCCTTGGTGTCTTCAGTGATCTTTCGCAACCTCCTCCGCCTCAAGTAGCTGAGGATGGCCTCGTCGCGAGCGTCGTGAGCACGAGCGTCCAGGACTCAATAACTGACATGGAAATTCACGTCTGAGCGCCGGTAGCCAAGACCGTTATTTTTCAATGCTACACAACAAACTAACTAACTATATCGTCAACTGCTGTTGACTAGCTGGCCCTGAAGATGTAAGCCATCTGGATCAGGAGTTCAAAATTCAGGCCGGTATGAAATGAACAGCCACAAGGTCGCACAAGGTTCTGGGTGGGAAAATCATGCAGTGTGAAGCTTTGAAGGGCAAAAAGGCAGCAAAACCAGCCAACATCATGGCCAACATCTGAGATCTCTGACCAATTCTGAGTCTATCTGAGTCTTGATTGCAAATGGGGCGCTCGTTCGATCTTTGTTGCTGCATCTGCTCTTTTCTTTCTCATTTCCGCACGGTACTTCTTCAGCTCCTGGCAGGCCCAGCTCGTGCCAAGATGGCCCTCACTTCTGCAATACTTCTGCCGCATGCAACTGCCTGTGTAAAGCCCGATGCCAGAAGACCGGTGGGAACTGAGACCACCTCGGACAAATGAGTTGCCGCACCATGCTGCGCCTGGGGTAAGGGATCAAAATAAAAATAGAATCAAAAAAATATTCAACGGGGATCCATAAAGAAATAAAAAGGTAATCAAAAAACAATATTCTAGCCCACTGAGGATGGTTGGGGTAGTAGAGGAGAGTGTACCTCCCCAGGAGCTCCCTCCTAGTAGGGAGCTATTTCCACTGGTGAACCATTTTTCGAGTAGGGCTACTCAATGACTGGACAGCAACCTTATCGTTGGGTACCTACTTTCTTCCCAGGGAGCTGCCTCTAGTAGAAAGCAATCAAGCCTCTATTTGCGCAAGCAGGGGACCAGGAGATCGACAGACGAGTGCCGTAGGAGAGCAAAAGACCAGCGGACCAGGAGACAGAAGGACTAGGATACCAGGGGACCAGCGGACCACAGGACCAGAGGACCAGGAGACCGGAGGACTAGGGGACCAGTGGACTAAAGGACCAAGGGACCAGGGGACCAAAGGACCAGTGGACCAGAGGACCAAGGGACCAAGACATTACCAGAGGACCCGCAGACCACAAGCCCAGGAGAGCAGCAGAAGAGGCCCATCAAGGAATATGTTTTTTTGATTCGCTTTTGATTTTCTATTTTGATCCTGTTTATATTTTTTTGATGCTCTTTTTTCTTTTTATTTATTTTTGATACCTATGCCCTGCGCCTGCTTGTTCTGGCAGATCTTCCGCTTTCCGAGGTGCTGACTCCAACGGCAAAGAGCAAGGCCAGGAAGAGGACGCATTTGGCTGGAAAGTCATAGTCGATCAAAGGGTAGTCTCCTGGTGAGAGCATCCGAGAGGCGTGACCCATCAGGAGCCTCTTACTTGTGAATTCCTGTGAGGTGAACCAAGGTGTATGGCCTCCAGCAGGTCATCAGGAATGCGAACACCAACAAAAGCAGGCAATCACGTGGGTGTGCATTGAATCGGGGAGACCCTCCAACCACTGGACTCGGTCGTTGATGTGTCCTCTTCCAAGGGGTCTAACTGCGGGGGTCTCTCTGTTTCAAGACACACCGCCAGTGCGCTTGGCAGTGAGTCTCCCACATGGCGGTGAGCATGTTCCCGTAGCGCTGCGACATGCTGAGGTCGTCCACCTCACAGGCTCCGGTGGAAAGAGATTCGGACCGCACATGGAGAAGAAACACATTGGATGTTTTATGTAGACATATGTAAACGTTTGATTGATAAGACCCATTTGATTCATTCGGATTGTAAGGCACCTCTCCAGATGGGGGGGGGTTTTACTAATTAATTACAATACATTCCCATAACAGTCTGTATGAGGTCATGAGGTCCTCCTGAAGTAGTTGTCATTCGATTGACTGCTTTCAAGACCAAGACATCAAGAAACCAAACATGAGGCCAAAGAACACCGGCACAGACCCCAGATGTCATTCAAGAAATGATAAGAGTGAACATCAATGAAATTTCCTACAAACAGCACTACAAGCAGCCTAGAGAGCCTATAGTTTCCAGCTTTTGGGGGAGACACAAAAAAAAACTGACATTCCATCCGTCGTTCGCGTTCGTCGCAGAGCACGGCGCCTCGGTGCCATCGTGCCTCTCAGTGAGCCACATAAGCGCAGAGAAGATCAACCAAAGCCTCAGCGCGGCAGAAGAGGAAAAACGACGACCAGCATCTACACCAAGGAAACATGCCCTCAAGAATACGATGGGGATATTGATGGGATATCGTCAAACATCATCAAACAAAGGATTTGACAACTGTCAAGGCCTAAAATTCCTCCAAACATCTAAGTCATGAGAACTGTAGGAATATGCACTGTGGTGAGTTTGATGCGATGCTGAAGCATAGGCCGCCATTTGGAAGTCCTGGCTACAGAACTGTTGAAGTTCAAATGTTCTTCAGTTGGGCACACACCCCACCTTGGCATGTTTGGTGAACACTCGGCCAATCAAGGACCTGCTACAAAAGTGAGGCGTAAGTAGCACGCGGGACAGCAAGTGGTCCCCAAACAAATCGACGCACTCCACTAGTATTGACAGCACTGAGGATCTGAGGGTTTCGGCACCGAGGGAATATACTTGTCCAATGTCAGCCTCAAAGGCATCGAAGCACAACGCATCAGCCCCGCGCTCACGTGAGCACAACTCTAAGCCGTCCGCAATCGGAAGATTCGCAACATCCCTCGAAGCACGAGCAGCTTAGAAGAATATGACAATGTGTGTGTGCGCGCCACTCTCGACTCGCCCTCAGATCGAAATCTGGCCCATATTTATTTGACCATGTGTGTGTGCCCCTTGTAGTCACAGGGATTCTTTTGAATTGTTTTCTTTTACCATGAGCGGGGGGGCACAGGAGGCCCATAGAGCTGTGCCCAACGAAGCTCTCTATGGTGACCTCAGGATATGCAGCCTGATCAGCTGCACGTACCTGCTGTTTGAACTTTTGAACAAGCTTTGACTCCAATTTCTAGTAAAGTGCTAGTGAACTTGGCAGACATGAGCGTACGACGTCATCTCGACCTGCTCGTCGCTTTCGGTCTTGAGCCTTTGGCCCTTTCTCCTTTTGAAGACCTCCAGGCTCCATAGGGTTCTCCTGGACTTTTCAGGATTTGGTTTCTTAGGCTGGCGTGTGGCATGTGGCATTCAGTTCCGTACACCCAATCATAAGTGTGTCTCTCCTAGTGAGAGCCCGGGATGAGCCGGTATAGAGTGCCTCCCGTGGACCCGTCGAACGGGGGTTTGTCTTTATCTCCCCTGCCCGGAGATGTACGTGCCCAGAGCGGGCGTAGGAGGCTTATGCCAAAGTTATTTGCCAAGACTTGGTGAAGTATTGAATTCCAAGCTGGCTCATGCCTTTATGTGACCGCAGCGGTCAAAGCAGCCAGACATTATGGCACGGCGTACGTGGCCGTAGCGGCCCAAGTTCGTCTAGACTCATTGGAGCCTGTCGCGACCTTAGCCCCCTTCCTCCTCCCCTCCCCTCCTCTCTCCCCCTTTTTTGTCCTCTTGGGGTTTTCCTGAATGTAATACTCAGGTTCACCCCTCTCTCTCACTGGTGTGTCCCTGGACGTTTGTGCGTAGCTGGGAACACCTGTCCCCTTCCTTCTCTTTTCCCTCTCTCTTTTCTCCCTCCTTTCCTTTCCCTCCTTCTTGTTTGGGTGTCCCTGGATGCTTTCGTCATAGCTGGGAACCCTTCTCCTCTCTTCTTTTGGTGTGTCCTTGGACGCTTGTGTCGTAGCTGGGAACACCTTCTTCCCCTTTCCTTTCTTCTCTTTCTTTTTCTCTTCTCTCCCTACCCCTCCCTCCCGTCGGGACCTGGCCTTACTACTAGGTGCAAGGACGCTACTTTGACGCTACTAGGGGTTCCTGGCCTTGCTACTGGGCGCAAGGACGCTCTAGGGCAGAGATGCCTCCCCTTGGGGAGGCGTGTGTGTGTGTGTGCCCCTTGTAGTCACAGGGATTCTTTTGAATTGTTTTCTTTTGCCATGAGCAGGGGGGCACAGGAGGCCCATAGAGCTGTGCCCAACGAAGCTCTCTATGGTGACCTCAGGATATGCAGCCTCATCAGCTGCACGTACCTGCTGTTTGAACTTTTGAACAAGCTTTGACTCCAATTTCTAGTAAAGTGCTAATGAACTTGGCACGACGTCATCTCGACCAGACCTCCAGGCTCCATAGGGTTCTCCTGGACTTTTCAGGATTTGGTTTCTTAGGCTGGCGTGTGGCATGTGGCATTCAGTTCCGTACACCCAATCATAAATCATAAGTGTGTTGCAGGTCAACTATGAGTTATAAGTTATAACTGTATCCGAGGGTGAGCGTGCACATCATCTCACGATCAGCATGAATAATGACCAACATGTGGTCAGCTAGTCGCTATAGTTGCAGGTACCGTGCAATTGCACACTTCCAGGACAAATGAGGGTCCACCGGGAGCGTCTCCTGCCAAACCGTGAGACTACACTACATACTGCTCTCATAAGTGCTCTTCTACCGGTTGCGAGCCACAAAATACGCCCCTACCAGGGTTTCGCAACTTGCTTCCTTCATGCGTACCGAGCTCACAACAGCCGGAAGGTGTACAGGTTGGATATATCTGATGATGTGTCTATCATGAACCAACAAACTATAACAAACTTCTCCACTACCCTACAGGAATGATGTTTTAAACAAAATAATCCTGTTTCATTTAGACAGGTACCAGAAGAGAACAAAAACTGTGAGACAACTGACAAGTCAACTGTCAGATCTCGCCAGTCTGCTCACCTCTATCGCACAGCTCTAAGGCTGCGACGGAGCTCGCCATCGTATTGGTCTGCAAGACTGGAACCACAAAGCGCCAAGTAGTAGGGTGCCTTATGAAGGCAGGCAAGACTTGGAACTGGATATTTGGAACCTGTGGATCTCGTCACCACAGCTCTGAAAGCGATCGAAACCGAATGCGTTTCAGCTTCGTGGGGGAATAGAACGCAAGGATCGCAAGTTTGTATTTCAGGCAACGTCCCTTCAAGCCTCCTTAAGCCACGCCAAAGATTGTGCGGCCAACTTCAGTCTAGACTGACATATGAGGAAAAAATGCTTTCCAAAATGAAATCCAAAAAACATATATAATTATCATGATATTGAAAGCTAGAGTTGAGGAAGCTGCAATGGCCAACAGGTCAATTATCGACGAAGCAGAGGTGGCAAAACTCCATCGTGCTGCCCGATCACTGACCTCACAGAGTCTCAAAGTCAGAAACAAGCTCTGGAGTAACAAGTGCCTTACTAGTAGTAACAATTTTTGCTACTAGTACTAGTAGTCTCAAAGGCCCGTGCATCGCTAGTAGAATTAACATCATCCACATGTCACTGCTTACTTCTCGGTCACTGCATTCATGTGCTGCTCTTGGAGACTCTGGGATTACCAAATGACCATCTGCTCAGGTGCTTACGTAGCCCTGGGCCGCCCACTCCGGGGCCTCGCGATGCAGGCGTTCGAGACCAAAAGTGTGTGCATGTTCAGAGGGTGACCCCTCAAATGGTTTTTTGGGGGTATGTATGTGTTGATCTATTTTATCATATCTTATCTATTTACCCTCTTCCAGGGAGTCGAACTGGGAGGTCTCCCAAGACAAGTCACAGTATATTATACAGTATTATATAATTAGCGTGGATCCACGGAAAGAAAAAAAAAGCATCCGACCTCTGGGGCACAGAAGTAGCGCAGGCCATATTCCAAAGTGAAGAGGAGTGTCGCCACGATCTCGATGGCGTCCAACGCCTGGCGCCGCGGCGACGGACGGCTGCTTCAACGGGACGGCTGCTTGGACGCGACGAGCAGAAGATTGCGCATGCGAACCGCCGTTTTTAGGACCCAAGCAATGCCTGACGGTTGAAGGAGCCAGGGGGATCGAAACCTTCCACCGTCTCCTCACAAACTCAATAAAAATCTTGGAGGCCTTGACACAGACTTGTCGACTTTGTTAGTTAGTGGTTGTTGACTTCGTTGACCTGCCCATCTTACAAGTACCCCAATGTTTTGGTGTTCGGGCTCTCAGCACGTGATTCAACGCCGATCGAATTTCAGCACGTCTGCGGGTCCATGATGGCAGCGATGACCGTCACCTGGGCATCTGCTTTCTTGAGAGGTGAATGGTGGTCTCAGTGCAGCTGGGTTGCAAAAATTGTAAAGAAAATCAGTCTTTCAAAATGAACTGCACGGGCTTCCCAGGGATTCAGGTCTTCAACCTCCACAGCACTCTGCATTCTGGATGTTTAAGGCTTGAAGGAACAAAACATAGCTCTTTGATGCTCTTTGCATGATTGCGCACGCCTGGTTTGCTGCAGAGCCCTGCAAAAACTTGTATACAAGTTGTCCTTGGTCCATCTTGCCCATGCCCGTGTTGAATCCATTCCATCAAGAAAGGAAGAGGAGTGCTGAGCTATGCTGAGCTCTTGGCGGAACGAGGGGAACGTCTCTTGACCAGTTGGGCCTACCAAGTGAATTCTTGTGGGTCAACCGCAAGATCTGTCAAACATCTGCCAGATGCCTTCTTTCGTGTCTGCAGCATCGTCGTCTTCATCCTCCTTGATGATTTTGGGAAAAATTGCGAATCGGAAGACTTGGAGGCACACTTGGAACATCTTGAAAGTCGGAGAACTCAAAACCTGTACAACAAAATGAAAACATCGTAGCAAAAAAGATGTTTATATATATATATAATACAGTAACAAAATCGCCAAAAGGAAGGATGCCACAGGATCTCCTGCTCTAGGAGGTCCTGAAAACCTGAACCCAGCACTCCCATGGGGATGGTCACGAAGCCCACTCCGATCAATCCTGGCTTGAAAGTATCGGGTTATCCCGTAGCAAAATAGAAGAGGAATCAGAATATCCACCTCACAGTTCTGAAACCATTCCAAAGATGGAGTCAATACCGGCTTCTTTGGCACCTTCGAGCATCTAAACACTGGGTTTTAGTGGCATTCCAAGGCACCCATCAATGCGGAGATGAACTTCCCGGCCTCTGTGCCCATAGAATTCTTGCGTTTGAGTTGCAGTGAAAGTAAGGCGAGGGCAGTGGTGTATTCACAGAGGGGGGCTTCCCCGGATAGGTTCAACAGCGTCACCCACCTCAGCTTCCGAGCGCATAGGCCAACTACATATTATCCCTACATGCTTCTTCTGGCGCAACCGCCGCCTCAACAGAATATGAACAACTAGCAAGATGATGTTCCTAGTCTAGTGGCTTCTTGTTACTAGTCGTACGGCCAGGAGCCCCTAGTGGCGTCCTTGCTCCTAGAAGTAAGGCCACAAGCCCCTAGTAGCTTCTTCCATCTCTGGTGTGTCATCCCTCCGCCGGGCAACTCGGAGACTCGAAAGCACTTCGCATGGCCAAGCAGCATGGAAGTTGAGACGCTAGAATAGTGTGCAGCCTCCGGGGTGCTAACAAACTGGTGCCAGGAGCAAAAGACCAAGTACGAACCATTGTAATTTTAATACTCGGATCCCGAACCATTTCCGGATCTGGGTTGTGGTGCTCTGCATAGTACATCAGGGTGCTGAAAATCACCTGCCATGTACGCAGCAGTTGTTCGCTTGTCGTACTTACTCTCAGCAACAAGCCAGAAAAGCCCACAGCACAGCGGCTGCCCCTCCAGTCACTGATAGCACTGCCCTGGCCGTCTGAACGTTCCACGAGCTTTCGGAAGATCGAGCTTTCAGAGAACCTATTTTGCCACAGAATCTGCTTGAAAGAGCTGAAGGCGCCGATGTAGCGCTCCTCGCGGGAACCAATACGTACGTGACTCCAGTGGCACCAAAGGCGCGAGCGTCGTGAACATCAATGGCGTCCAGCTTGAGAATTCGCAACGTGGCAAAGGCACGGAACAACGGCCTTGGGAAAGCCTGAGAGTCTCAGACCACTAATGTACGCCAAACTGCCCCCGTCATCCCGAATGAAAGATTCGATGTTGAACTGAAATCTGGGTTGTGCACGTAGCTCATTGCTGGAACTACTGCACACCTCAGCACAAAATAGCATCCTCGGCGCATCAAACGTCAAATGAGCCCCGAACAGACCGTCAATAACACCAAACCCGCTCACGATGTACCGCAGCGGTGAGGAGAACCCAACACCAGTAGCTGTGCAAATCCTGGCTGGCGCAGCCGGGCTGTCCCAAAGGGACAGTCACGGGCTGCAGGTAATTACCAAGAAGTCAACAAACGAATTGACAAATCGCCACATAGTCAGGGTCGTTGTCCTGTAGACGTACTCCACCTGCGGCTTTAAAAGCGCTGACATGAGCTTGTTTGGGGATTGAAAACACTTCCAGCATCTTCCAGCGCAGACTGGGTTCCAGGCTGAAAATGTTGCAGTTGCAACAACATCCAGCACTTGCAGCACAAGCAGCAATCTGGTCAGTTGAAAAAGAATGGACAGATCTGAAACAAAGGCTGCATTGCCGGGATTATGTTTGAGACAGCTGCTCGTCTAGGCGGGAAGGTAGGTGTCTGAGCGTCCCTGGCTGTCAAGTGCAGTTGATACTACTGTAATAACATATATGTAATAGCTGCGACTTCTGTGTGACCGTGTCTTTCTCACTTGGTCTTTCTCATTCAGTTCCTGCACGTGCACGGATGAACGGATGAGGCTGAAGCAACGGAGCCTAGAATGAAGTGCAATGAGGAAGCTGCAACCAACAGCACCTGAGTTTGCGCAAAAGGTTCCTGCCTGGAGAAGGCCCTAGCACCAGGGCTCGAGCACTCACCACAAACCAGGCATCAGCCAGGTCAATGGTAAAGTCATCAGTCACTGGGTATGTTTTCACCTGTGGATCGTGAATTTAAAGGCATCCCAGAGACTTCACAGCAGTGTTGAAGCGATGCGCCTGTCTCTCCCCGTCCAGGCAGCGAACAGCCGCGACGCCGGCCTCCAGCTTTAGTACCATGACAGAGTCTTCTTTTTGACCACCGGAGGTCACCGACGACTGCATGGCCACACACTGCGACGCATGTTTCTTGGGGAGTGCGATGACAAAGTCTCCCGCCGAGTTGGCCTTCGTTGAGTCGTCTTTAGCGTTGATGGCGTTGTCTAGTTCCCAGCCTTAGGTGTGGGCTTCTCCTTCTGCGCCTCTGCATCATCGGCCGCCTCGGTTTCCTGTGGCAAGTGCCGCCGCTGCGGGGATCTTCGGGGTGGGGAGGGGACCGCGAACCATGCAGAAGATGCGACTGAGGGATGCGAGCAACGGCCTCCTCATTCATTTCCTTTTCGACCACCTCGGAGAAGGCATTGCCAAGTGCTCCAGCAGGGATGGCCATCACAGCTGCACCCATCACCTGAGCAAGCGGCCCACGTGGGCATCCTGGGATCAGAGCGCGAAGAACACGCCTGGATAAAGCCACCCACAAAGCGCCCACCAAGTGAATGCTGATCCGCCAAAGGGAACTCCCCAAAGAAGTTCAAGACTGAGTAGTACCTGCAATCTGATGTTTTGTCATGATCACCACTCAAGGCTTCGGCATTTTAACTCATTTCCCGCTTTCCTGAAGCTTTGCTTTTGTCACTGTTGTACTATTTTGATCTATTTTGCTGGCCCTGCTTCCATATTTCCATGCCAAAGTACATTGCAGCCGGGATGGAGTGGAACCGATTCCAGCAAGCATCGTTCTTCTTGAATTCTTCATCCTTGGCTGCCGATGACAAATCATACACCAGTTTCCCGCAGATCCTACCATCTACTGTAGGTCTAGAACCTACAAGCTACAGCCATGCTGCTGGGCAATAGATCATGTCCGGATTGCCAGTCTCAAACCAGTAGTACAGCGCAGCACAAATGACCTTTGCACGAGGAACGGCGTCGTGGATTCTCTTTTGTCACATCAGCCTGCATGGCCAAAGGACTGACCAAAGGCCGATAAACCATTCTGCGTTCTTTCTTGCTTTACTTGATGAGTGACTTTAACTCCAATTTGCAAAGATTGCCACCCTGCTTCAACTCCATTACCATTCCTGTCGACATCATATCTTATCGCATCCCATTTGATCCAAGAATCCCAAACAGTGAAGCCAGCGAAGCCACTTGCGAGGAGGAGTTTGCTGCTTTTCTTCCAGATCACGTCATATGGCCTGGGATAGGTTATGATAGGCGAGCTTCAGGAAAGTCAATCAATCAAAGCAGTCAATCAAAGTGCTAAGGAATCAGGAATCTAAGAAATCCAAAACAAACCTAAGGCTCTAAGGGAAGCTTGAGAATGATTCTGCTAGGCCGTTGATGAATGTTGATGATCATCCCAGTGCCATCAAGTCACAGTGGAGGGAGGAGCCGGAGCAAACGAGCCTTGGCAGAAGCTAAATAATTGCTGTCAGGCTGGAATGCAGGTGATGTGATAGAGATCTCACTACTTGAACTTGCATGCTGACATGTTCTCGCAATAGTTCTACTATACAGGCTTACATCACTGCAAACACAACAACACAGAACATCGCGTGACACTTTTTGGAGGTGAAGTGCTACACCAGCAAACACCTTTCGCACCGCGAACGAATCTCTACTTGTCGGCCTTGACGTTGATGCCAGATCGCTGTTGCATTGAGTTGTGTACGGGCATGGTTGGTGGGCTGGTGTGTAGATGGCTATGTTGAGATGGAATCATCGGACTGGATACTTTTGGGACCACCTCGGGTGGGACAAATCGCACGAATCTACTTGGCTATTTTATGCTCCCGCTGTATTAGTCTATATGATTACAGATAGGTACGTAGAGCAGAAGGACAAGAACACACTTGTACCGTACCATGCCACACAGCTAATTACCCGGCATCGCTCTGTTAAAACAAGCTCCACGAAGTGAGACCTGCGGTGTTCTCTCTTTTTCAGCTTCGTCGTGGCGGGTTGGTGGGAGGCTCCCTCATGGGACTCCCAGTGATTTGGCTACTCGTCGCTAGCGAGAGTGCTCCACTGGTTTCAAGAGTCCAATGCAACTGGATCAAGTCGTTTGACAGCCTTGGAGTCACAAGTGATAGCTGTGTGCCTAGTGATAGCTGAATGCCAAGGATCTGTGCAATGCCAGGAGCACCAGAAAAGGCTGTTAGAGGGCAAACGGCTCTGCCGAGTGTCCCAAAAAGGTGACATGCTGAAAATCACAATGCAATGCAAAACGGGCAAAATAGGTTGATTTGAAGGCCTTGCACCTTGCAGACTTCATTGGCCATCAAGGTTTTGCAGATTTGTGTACTACAGGGAAGGGGAGCTACGCAGCCCATCTTCCTTGATCTTCCTAGTGGCTTGTCTCAACCTCTATTCTTTCTTCCAGCTCCTCAGTGTCACGTCCACCTTGTCATGGTTCTGAAGCATTCTCAGGAGGGATGGACCTGCAGACTTAGAGTCTCAAGCACAATACGCGAGCGTAATCCAAGCACCGTTAGCAAATGCAGTGAGATCTATAGCTCATTCCTTGCACCCCCAATCTCACAGGCATTTCGGCCTTGCCACTCCTTCTGATTCACAGCAAAGATGCTACAGTATGCCTGCGCAAGCTGGTCTGTATGTGATTATCAGTGTCATCACATGCCTTGATGCGGTGATCCAGGGGCATTGGCGGTATTATACCATGTTCACGATGCCGTTCATCGTTCCCTCCGCAGTGCCTCGATCTTCTTATCAGCTGGCGCTGTTTGGTTGTACTCCGCGATGATGCCGTCCTCCTGCAAAATGTTATGCAGCCCTCGAAGCCTTGAATTATGAATTGTGACCAAACAACGCTGATAAGAAGCTACTAGGGGCTCCTGGCATCGCTACTAGGAGCAAGGACGCTACTAGGGGCTCCTGGCCTTACTACTAGGAGCAATGTTCGCTACTAGGAACAAAGCAAATTCATGCAAATTCCAACAAGCACGCCTTCACAGCTAGGACGACCACGCCCAAGGGCCCATCTAAAGCTTCAACTTCAAGGCCCAAAGGCTTCCCGTGCTTTCGCAGCGTCACTGCAAAATACCTCCAACTTCGGACGCACAACATGCTCACTGTGCTACATGTTCTTATCCCCGACAGCTTTCCAGTCCTGCCTGGGATGTTGCAGTTTGACAGTCACGTTGCTTCCATTGCTCAAGGCAGTGAGTAGCTCCTGTGACGACGTTGGCCGTTGGCTTGCACACATCTGCTGCAAAGGTGTCATGACTGTCGTGCTGGTCATGGCAGTTCTTCCTCTTTCACTACTTTGCGCAATTGTGCTTCAAGTTTCAAGTCAACCGCAACACATGACACCACATAGGCTCCTCTGGTATAGGACTCGATTGGGCGTGGGACTTTAAACTAAAACGATTGCTCGTTTAATCAATAGATTTATTTATATAGTATGTGTTGCTCTCTCCTCCGGGGCTTCTACAAGAGGCAGGGGCAGGAAAGGACAAACACGAGGATCGGTGTTATATCTCCTCCATACTTGTTGCAAGCCAAAGCACGCAATAAAGTGCGTTTTAAACTGGTCCCGTGGCCAGCTTGACAAGCAAGAGGGGGCGGGAGGGCACAGCGCCCCCCTGAAAAGCAAACCAAGAAGCACGAGCTTATCTGGTATGCCACATGAGCCGCCTATTCAATCTTCCCCTTCACCCTGCGGGGCTTTTCCGCCTCGGCACTGCCAGATTTGTCGTCCACCGCGATGATGCGGTCCATGGGCTGAATGGCCTTGGCGCCGGCACCGAACGCGCGGTGCAGTTCTGGGGCTCCGTGAGGCTCTGGCCATTGGGCCGGACCCCTGGGCTTTATTCCACTGCGCCAGCTCCTCATTGCCCAAATCCGTGATGACGACTAGATCGTCCACCTTGAGGCGCGCTGTCTCGAAAACTGGGGGAACCACTGGGGGAAACAGGAGAATGACGTCATCATCGCCTTCGCAACTGTCAAGCCCGCGAGGGAATTCTCTGGCTTTTCCATGCTGATGGTAAACATATTGCCACCGGCATCCTGGGACGATAATGCAATCTCACTTCAAAGCCCCCACAACTTGCATTTTTGGCCTTGAAAAAATTGCTAACTAAGCTGGAGACTGCGGCTGAGAATTTGGGAGTCTTCTCAATGTCTTCCGGTTCCTGCCCGTTTTGGTCTCAGGTCTACCGACTCTACCCCTCGTTCCGTCATTCTTTGGTGCATCGAGAAGCGGCGCAAAGCTCCACACAACGTGGAAGCTCTTCAGCTACTCAGGCTTGCAACTGAATAAGGCGTGTTCAAGTTTAACAGCCTAACACCCAATCGCCCATTATTCTGCCTGTGTCTATTTGCAACTCCACTCGGTTCGGTGCCTCCAAGTTGGTCTTGTATTGAACTGGGTAGCGTGTTTCCTCAAGGGGCGACAAGCTGCAAGAAGGGGACACTCGCAGCCAGACTGCAATCGCCAGAAGCATCTGGCAGTGGGTGATTAAGGGGGATCCCGGTTGACCACTGAAAATGATTGAAATGAACCTACCAGGAGGTCAGCCTACCAGGGTTTGGCGCTCCGGCTTTTGATCCCACTGCCATGCTGCCCCAGCGTCCGCTTCCAAAGAAACCTCGGTACCATCATGGTTGCCACTGGAGTCCACACATACCTGACAGGACTTTGCTGACTTGCTGAAAACTCGCGACTGGGACTCGACTCGCGCTTCTGCTAACGGGAATCGCATTCCCAGCCTCTTTGCAGCAAAAAAACATAGTACACCTGGCACAAACTACGAGTATCAGTTCATGCAGTGATCCTCAGAGCCTGCATCGAATGTCAAGTCTGTGCGATATTTTCTGTGGCCTCCCAGCAGCGCGTCGCGTCAGCACCTTGAGCCCTTCAGAGCCAAGTTGCTGCGAACAAGTGCGGAGTGAGCCCACGAGCATGTGCCATGATTCTCCTTTGTTACTAGTAGCTTCTCGCTACTAGTAGCGATTCCATATGACCCATGTCATTCTCCAGCAGTCTTTCTGAAGGATTGATTCTGCGATAGCTAGCGGGCAGTTTATTGAACGCATTCGAAAGCGCGCGCGCGCGCTGAAAACTGAGCACTCCCACAACTCTCACCCATTGCGTGGCCAAATAGCTTTGCCTTCCAGGAATAGCAAGATCCACCTGCGCTCAAAGGCTGATCAACTGCAAGAGCGTGCCAAACACGCTTGGACCATGCTGACTCATGCTGAAGGGTGCACATAAAAGGGCAAAATGGAGATCAGGTCGACGATCGAGAAGAAGTTGGTAAACTGAGTGGGCAAAGCAAAGCATGTGGAAGACACATTTGTGCAACGTGCGGATGGACAAACATTTCTCTTGGAAGGCTGAAGCTGGGGCCACCCATTTCAGCCGGCTGAAACAAGTTCCTCCTCTGGTACTGAATCGTAGCAACTGAGCCAATGGAAGCAGTGTCCAGGCTCCAGTAAGCACATGACCGCCTATCTGTCTGAGGCTCCCACATATTCAAATGTAAAAATGCCAACTGTAGCTGTTTCTATTTTGTCAAACCTCACAGTCAAAGTGCAAACATTTAGCAAACAATAAGGAGCCCTAAAGGATGGTGGGTCGGCGGGTCCGACCACAATGCACAGAATGCGGCACAAATGGGGCACAAATCGGCATGAGTTCATATGATTTCTATATCTGGAAATGCACAACACGCACTCAACAACCTTGAACGCACGGTGAACTTGGTGAGCTCTGTTTTTGAGTGCATTTATGTGCGTTGGGGCTTTAACTCGCAGCCACGTGGCAAAGTTGGTAGTTTCAGTTCCAGACAGCCACGCGGTCCCGGCTCCACAGACCTTCGGACGAAGGATTTGGGTCATAGTGCGGACCTCGCACCACGCTGATTTGGTCGGTTTTGGCATGTTTTGGCAGTTGGACGAGGGAGCTTGATGTGTTGGCGCCGGAGGCACTGGTATGGTGGTATATTAGTTATATGCGTGCAGAAAGTCTGTGTGTGTGCGCGCGTGTTTATGACAGTATCCATACACATGCCATGTTTTCAGGACAGAAGCACGTACAATCACATAATCACAAGCTCGAGCTGAAATCTTCATCATCCGGACCTTGAGTTTTATGTCCTGATTCAAGGTCAACCAGCTAGTGCCCTAGGAGCCGCACACACCGCGGTAGTCATCCATGCCATGCTCAGTGGACAGAACAAAGCTCGCAATGTTCACCAGGATCACCACAGTGAGAAAGAAGCTATAGGCCGAGCCAAAACTCCCCTGACAAAACGTGGATCTGAAATTCATTGATATGGCCACTGCCATGTCTCGCTGCTGGTGAGACACTCGCTCGACATCCCTCGATTGAGAAGATAACTCTCCACGTCTCTGCTGAACTACTGGACACTTGGATCATCTCTAATCCAATCTGGTGCTATTTGAGATTCATTCAGTGTCTAGTTGGTCTATCGTTGGCCTTCCCCTCAAGGACGTCATAGATCTTGGAGCGGGTTGTTCTTCGGGGCTTTGGCAGCAAAGGCTCCTGAAGCGGCAAATGCCAAGGAAACCAGCCCCAGTGCACTTTGAGGGTGGTCCTCCAGTTTCATCGTTGAACCAAGAGCTGCAGCTTCCCAGAAGCCACAGGCAACTTTTTGAGCCAAAAAATGTCCAAAAACACAGACAATGAATCAGACCGTGCCCGTCGTGAATGACATGCAAGCAGTCGTGCAAGTGTAAATGCGGTTTGGAGATGGAGTCGCCACACAAATTGATACGTGATGATACGTGGTGCAACGACATGATGGACCAAAATGACTGGACCAAATGATAATTACATATGTTTCTGTCGGCACGTGGTACAGTATGATGTTGGACTTCCTTCTCAACTTGCAGACACGCAAAGCAGCCTTGCTCTCGATGTAGACATGAAGATCTTGCTCTTCAGCATGGACTTGTTGGAGCTGATTCCGAAAAAGCAGAATCCCCTGCACCAAATGTAAAATGAAATCTAATCTGCCAGCTGCATGCCTGTGTTGTGTCTCAAGACATTCTTCTTTGGACACGCCCTGGGCCCTGCTCCTCTCTACACGCCCTCTATGCCCCTCCTCAACCAACTTGTTCAGGTCATTCTTCTCTTCATCGCTCCTCAAACTCTGAGCAAAGAAGCTGCAGCAGCAGCAGCTTGAAGAAAGGCGCTCACAAAAATTTGAGGTTGCCACAGCGAGGTCCAGAAAGCTGCATAGGCAGCCTCCACACCTCAGAATTCACATCCATTTAAAAACCTCGGACGAACTCCTTTGACACAAAGGATCCCAAAGGGTCTCTGAGGGCAAGTCGCCGCTGCCTCTCGGTCTCCTCTCGGCAGATCCTGCGACATCGCTAGTCATCACCACTGCTGGGTGCTAGCTATCACTGATTGAGCCGGCTATCACCAGCCGCTCCTTTCAGCTTCCTCCAAGGCCTTCCTCTCCCTTTCCTCGGGCTGATGGTTTCGATTGAATCTTTCCGCCTATCGCATACACCTGATGTCACCTGGTTCACTGGTTGGGTTTGGTCCGAAGATCTGCTACACACCCAAGTTGTTAAACACCTTGCAGGAAAGGTGACAGGCTGATGGGAAGGGCCTGTGCCGCTGCTTGTGCCTCTTCTGCTTCTCGTCTTCGCTCCTCCTGGATACAGTATTCAATCTTCACATGCAGCTAGTCTAGAGTAGCGAGCATGGTTCAACACATTGCACATCAGAAATGGTGCTACAGACTTGCATGTTGAAAGCTTAAAACTCTTATGTAAAAGCTCGTGGGATCAAAAAAACAAACAAACAAATCAGCTCAAGGCCCTGCCACTGCCACCACCAGATTCTACAATGAGTCTTGATTGGGTGGTTCAATCGATGACGAGAGAATGATTGTTGGCCTGGATAGGTTTGGGTAGGATAGTTTCCTTGTCTGAAGGTCTGAGCTTGATAGAATCCGTGAGGAAAAACAAAAGGTTCAACTGCACCCTTCGGCTGGCCTCCAACCTCCTCTTCTCCTCTTCCTCCTTGCGTCTGCGTTCCTCTCACATGGATGAAGCTTTGCTTCAAGTTATTCTGCGATGACTTTCCAAACTCTTTGCACAGGGTCCTCTTCAGCCTCTTGTGCTTGCCTTGGGGGACAGAAAAGGAAACGCGGACCTGTTGAGTGGGAATGCCCATGGCAGCCAAGTCACCTGACCAAATGCTCCTGCAAACACACAGTAAATCTATTATGCCTAAAGTCTTCGTTCTGCAGAAATCATGTCATTTTGTATCTTTGATTTCGCACATCACACCTCTTTTTCACGAAGCTGCTCACGAGCCCTCTCCTGATTCCGTTCATGGGGTAACAGCAACAGTCAGATACGACAAAACTGACGTTCAAATCTACTCCATTCTCCTCCTCCTCCTCTTTCAGCCTTTGCCCTGTGGAAGTTCAGTGCAAATTCTTGCAAACTCCTGTAGTGTCCAATTGAGGATCAGGCTTTCTGCCGCCTGTTGCTCATGGAAAGCAACTACCTCCATCTCAGGCTGTGAGATATTGGGAAGCTTGATTCATCTGAAGCACAGCCTGACGGACTCGTCCTCCCGTGGGAGAGTTTGCTGAGCTCGGGCCTTAGGGTTGGTGCATTGTCTGCATGTGAGGCTTCATGTAGGACTACTACATGAAGCCTCACCTGCTGGGATGCTATATGATGCTATAACCACTAGTCACTAGAAATTTACAAACTGCCACTAGTAACTGGTTTAGTTGCTTCTGGGCTCTGGCTGGCATCATGTGCGGCGTTTGCCTCTGCTGGGCTTTCAGGAGAGCTGGCAGCCTGAACATGTCTCAACAGCACAACAAGCAACATGATGCAATGGCGCCATGGAAGTGTGGCACAACAGCAGTACTAATCTGCAAATTGAACATCGGCCGTAGACCTGGGAAACCCTCTCACTTGTGGAAGATGAGGCTTCCTGGCATCTTGCTTCATAGCTTTGGCGGGTTTGGCAGCTTTGGTAGGTCTTTGAGGAGCTCGCTCGAGCTACGGCTCTCTCAAGTCTTGCACTGCTGTCAGAGCTCTGATCACTCGCGACCTGGATGGTGATCCAATACAACAAGAACTATGCTGCTAAATGCTACAAGCTTTGCCTTTGTGGTCAACAAAGCTGACTTGAGCTGGAAGCGGAGTCAGTGCCATCGGAAGACTCCTGATGAGCACTGTCACCACAGCTCCATTGGCGGAAATATTTGGAACGAAACGCACGAAGTCTCTACCAGGCTCTTCGTCCTCTTCTTCGATCTGGGGCATGCCGGCATGGGCTCCATAAGTACATTGGCAGAGTGATGGAAGCTTGCACATCTAAAGTCTGGTCCAATCTCGGTGGAGCTGCCCATCTGAGGCCAACGAAGCAAACACCCTTCACTGGTCGTGGTGAAATACAATATGGCTCGGTCCCTCCCTCTCTCGAGAAATGCGGCTGTATGAGGCTGTGAAGTCTGCCTTTTCTTACTTTTCATCATGCATGCAACAGCATGTCAAACAGCATGTCAGCTGTGCTCCCACTGTCATTTAATGATCCAAACTGCTCCAAGATTGAAAGTGTTGACAGCCTTGTTGCACGTTTGCTGGCATATCTTTCCACCCCTCCCTCCGGCTCTCGGTCCCGTCTTTTGTCGGTCGCAAAAAACACGTTGGCAACGGTCGGCACCGCTTACTAAAATCATTTGCTCACTTTGCTCACCTTGCCTCTTTGCTTTCCCTTACTTTGGCCACTGCTCTTGGAAGTGCTGATCTTTTGCACCTCAACAAGCATCTAAAATTTGCTTCTCGCTCGCGTTCTGAAAACATCTGAACACACTGAAGAAGCGGCCCAGGCTTGAAAATCATCCACCGTCAACAAGGGAATGTCACGAGCGATGGCCTCAGGTAATGTCTGCAAATCATGACTTGGCATGTGCTGAGGTTGCAGCCCAGCCTGCTGCATCTTCGTGCTTTCACTAACAGGTTCGCCGTTCCACTGCTTGGAGCCAGCAACTACCTGGAAGCTGGAGGCTGTTCCGAAAGAAATGACATTTAAAAACGAACTGACGACCATGGTCCAGGCAATAGCTGTTGCTTCGGAAATCTTGGAGGTCACCTGCAATAAGACTAGCCCAAAAGACCAGCAATGACAGCAGTATTCGAGATTGATACTCAACTCCTATGGGCATACCTCTACAAAACATATGGTAAACACCCACCAATATTTACTTGAAAACTTGTCGGGAACTCATCGGCATGATTTACACCGATGCTGTCACATGTTGCAGGAGTTGTCACGGAATCGTCAAATTGGCTCAGGAAAGGGCACCAATGTCATACATAGACACGTGTACTCCGTGTCTTTGTGACCTTCATCACTGCTACATAAACACCGCATCCAGTACTTTCATCTGGTTGGCTCCATGTCCAAACCACAGATGACTTCAGTCACAAGTTGGCAATCTCGCCCATTCTACAGTATTTTGTGGTCCCCTTAACTAATTCTCCTCTCCTGAGTTTGCTTTGGCCCCTTCTGGTCCGAGTCTTTACCTCTTCCATCCTAAAGGAGATTGAAATATACAAAACCCTGGCGAAAACAAGGAGCTTGCTCAAGAACATCAGGAGCTAGACAATCTATCAGAGGATAGATTACAGTAGATTGGCCACTCATCCTGGGAACATACTTTCTGGCCTATTGGTGCCTAGAGCTCGGCTTTGCAAATCATTTGCTCTCTACTTCATCCCTTCCTGGATAGTTTGTACCATTATCAGTTGGCTCGTCCTGCTGTTATTCAGCTCACCCCTTGCTAGAACACTTGCTTTACTCTTCCTCTTTCCTCAACAAGCTCTTCCTGGTCTCAATTCTCAATAGGCTTGCCTCTTGCTCAAATGGTGTCATGTTACTCGTTGCTTAACTCTCAGTTGATCTTGAATTAAAAATCTGAAGATCAAGCAAGAGCTTGACCAGGTGCAGAAGGCTTGATTGACCCCTATATATCCTTATCTAGCAAACAGGGTAGATTCTAAAGCAGTATGTCTAGTTTTTGCATGCGCCCTGTTCCCTCTGGGCTCATCAACAAAGGACGAATACCTAAGAAAAAAAAACTAATATACAATAATAATTAGTTACAGTTACAGGATAGAGTATGGAAGCACGGCAAAAGAGGAGGAGGAGGAGGAGGCCGTCTTGTCTATTGGAGTTGGATACCTCCTGGCAAGCATTAGCCGGTCCACTTCTACTTAGGAGCCGGCCCTTTTACTGTCTGTATATACTGTGTTTCTTTTAGTCAATATTCATCAACCCCAGACCAGATCTCCCAAGATCTTCCAAAGAATCTTCAATCTCAGAAACTTTGCTTTGCCAGGGCGGGGTCAAAGATTCAAGCATGCTTCAAGACGTTGTCGAAGATTGAAGGACTCTTTGAATTCTTCCAAGTGTGCAGTACAAAACCATGCTGCTTTGGCATGTTCCAACCTGATGAATTGACGACTGCTTGAGTCTTGAGTCCCATGCTCCCTTACTACTTATATCATCTTATATCGACTCTGCAGCGTTCATAAAAAGAGTCCCCACAGGGCCTTGCCACCAAGGATGCGGATCAGGCCCTCGAGGGTGGAACGCCTACGGTATGGCGATGCGGCAAGCTCCACATGCGGCAAGCTCCACATGGAATGTCTTTAAACCATGCAGGCATACACCAAGGTACGTCAGTTCCGTGGGCTCACCCGTAACAACCTCGGCTCTTCGCCAATTCAAAACATGCAGCCATGCACTAAAGCCCAGTTTCCGGTTCGTTGGTTCCCTCAGGGCACGACAAGCTGCTGACCCAGCAAACTGTTCGCTTTTGCTTGCGACACCAGGTTCTGTAGACTTAGGAGCCACCTAGACAAACAGCACAAGAAGGACATCCTGGCAAGCTAGTGAGCCAGGATGGCACAGGCAAGCTAGTGAGCTAGTGAGCCAGCCTATGCTGCACGTAGGCTGCGAAGATTTTCAAGGAATCCCCTGATGAGTCAGTTGTCCTTAAGTACAAGTTAGGTGCTACGACTTATGCTGATTCCACAGCAAAAGCAGCAAGGGCAACACTTGAGAAGCTGAAGTGGGAATCATGCAAAACCCATGCTGGGTTGCCGAGCAAGGCTGCTTTGCAAACCCATTGGCAATATTGGGGATCCTTCCACTGCATTCAAGCATCTTAGTGCAGGTATAGAAACAAAATCCGGTGCCTCACTGTAGATGTCAGCAAACGCTTTCCCTCGATACTTGCCTCCAAAAACGTTCAATACATGGTGACTTGTTTGAGAGTCCTCTCTCTTTCGAGCTTCCGACCCACTTTCATCAGCACTTTACCATCCCTCATGGCTCAGGCATTTCGCGTCTTTCGTTGCCAAGGTGGAGTGAGTGAGGACAGCACGCAAGTGGCGGGGAAGCAGGACTGGCTGATGGGGGTGGGCTGCCAGTCGCCCTGGTCAGCTTCATCCCCTGAGCAGGTCGAGCCTCTTGGCTCAGGCCTGCAAAAACAGGTCACAATCAAGCGCTCACCATTGTGCAAACATATGAAAACAAATTGTGTACACTTATGCATCTATAATGCAGTTATAATCAATCACATGCATGCATGCATGAATATCATGAACCAGCCACTCAAAAAGTTGCACAATGCACGGGAATAGTGGTCTCACGCCTGCTTGGACCGCCGGCAATCGAAAGGCGGTAGATGTGGCCGCGCGTGTGGCATACCTTTCATAACCGGCATTAGTCGTGTTTCGGGGTCCTGTTTCGGGGTAGTGATGTGCAAGACTTGCCTTGGAGATGAGCCTTCTGCAACGGTTCTAGCATGTCTTAGCCAATCACAGGCGTCCTAAATAAGCGGGCCACTAAGCCTAAGTACTCCCTAAGTAACCTCAGACCAGTCAAGTTCGCACTCTCGTGGAAAATAGTCGTGACTCTATATAGTATATTTGAGGTTGGGTAGCTCAACCGTCGGAAAGTGACTCTCGAAGTTCACGATCGCAAATGAAAAACCGCTCTCAAAAGCAGCCGCGGACTTTTCGCGGACTCGTGGCCATCAGGCTTCAAGGTGCGCATGCCCTCCCAGCTATCGGGAGGAAAACAGGTGGTTCGAGCAACAAAGCGGCAAAGCTTCGGCTTCAGTGAACCTGTGCAGCAGCGAAAACATGTGATGGCATCACATTCACACCGGTCAAAGGTGGTGTGTCAAGTGGTTGCTGCTGCTTCGGCCTCCTGCTCTTCGTACAGGTCTTGGCCAAGGTCTTGGGCGCATACCCTGCAAGGTACGAGGGTGTGCGTCACATTCGCTGTGCGCTGGCTCGCACATTGCTGACTTGCATGCCAGCTACTTCCATAGTTGGTGTGGAAGATGTTGGCATTTATGGCAAATCTCAGGCGGTTGCGGGCTCTGACTCGGACTTCTTCTTTGTACCGAGTCCTCATGGTCTCTGCTTGCAGCTCGTAGTTCTCCCGTTGTCGACGGAAGTCCTTTTGGAAGCAGGTTTGTTGGTCTTGTAGTCGTTGTTCAGCCTGCTGGAGCTGTGCTTGTAGGTGAGTGTTCTGTGCCTCGAGTTGTTTTATCTGTCTCCTGAGGGAGATGAGTGTCTCTGGCTCGACATGTGTTGTCTGAGTGCTCTTGTCGTTCTGTTTATTGTCGCTGCCAGTGTGTTCTTCTGGATGCGGCACATCCTCATCTGTTCTGGGCGGCTGCTGTGGCTTGTTTGCCACTCGGGTGCAGAGGTGCCATATCAGGTTGGCGAGCATCGCAACCATCAGGGTGAAACCTGTAAGGAAGATGAAGTTTTGGTTGTCCATCAGGTGGTCTTGGAAGTTGTCTGTGTGTTCAATGGAGTGCGCAGTGGTTGTGGTAGCTAGAGAGGCGAACATAGCCATTTGGGCCAATGGCTTGGTGAGCGCGTAGCGCATCTGGCTTTGCTTTCGGCTTTCCAAGGTCTTTTTCTTGGATGCTGTGAAGTTAGGATCCGGCTTCAGGCATGTTGTGTGGCTTCGTAGTCTTTGCGCTAGCAAGCTTGCTGCACTCTGTTTTGTCATGCCGTCTGCGAACTGTAGTTCGCTTGAGACCCAGGAGACGGTCGCTCCTGTGCAGGATAGTTTGTCCCGTGTCACTAGCACTTCGATGCTAGTCTGTTTGTCTGTTTGGGATGCTGTCTGTAGGTCTTGTTTGACCAGCAGGTCGTACAAAGCCTTGGCGTCGATGATGGGCCGTGGCGAGTGCTTCACCTTTGGTGTGTTGCTGTCTTCGAGGGCTAGATATGGTGACCATATCAGTTTCCAGAAGGTGGAAGCGTACAGCAGTGCATCTGCTGCTTCTGAGGCTGCCTGGCTTTCTGCTGCCAAGCTGGATCGGGCGATCCTTGGGAGTTTCCATGATCTCCAGTCGATCAGATGGTAGCCTCCTTCTGAGCCTGTTGTGACTGAGTGGTGTGTCATCATCACCAAGTGACCTCCTTGTGAAGTCAGGTCTGCTCTTGAAGCGAATGCAGCGTCGCTGTAGACGATGAATGTCATCTCTTCTGGCTTGCCCAGCTTTTGGAATCGTAGACCCACATCTGAGTATTGTTTGGCGTATCGTAGGCATTTGTTGGCTTCTCGAAGAGTCGAGATGTTGGCGCGACTCACTTGTCCAGCTAGCATGCTGGTCATGGCTTGGACATGAGGGCTGCTCTGAGTCGAGGGCCATTGGAGTGCTCCGACAATGCCTCGCAACATTGTGCGTTGTTTCTCTGTCACTGGTTGGTCGTTGGGTCCGTCTTCAAAGCTAATGGGCTTCTGCTTTGCCATGTAGGCAGTGTGTTGTAGTTCGTAATGATGTTCATTGATCCTTTGGATCTTTGCCCCACAGTACTCTATGTCTGTGTTCTGTTCCCATGTCCGGAAGTTGAAGGTCTTCCGCAGGGATGCAATGAACTTTGCACAGTAGCTGTTGTCCATGTCGGCACATCCAAGGATGTCGTCCACGTGCAATCCGAAGATTCCGACCAGTGGTGGATGTTTCACTGTGTTGCCATTGTCATCGATCTGGTGTGTCCAGGAATCTTCTCCTGCCTCATGATCGTGGATCAGGAATAGGCATGGATCCAGTGGGTGGACGGTGGCTCCCAGGCGCGTGATGCGCTCTCGTGCTTCACTGTACCATGCTCGGGGAGCATCGCATAAGCCGTACATAGGCTTTTTGAGCTTCATGAGGGCGTTGTCGCCATCGGTGCCAGTGAGGCCGAGGAGTCGTCTGGCGTCTGGTGGCAATTTGATCCATAGTGTGCGATGGCTAGGATGTTCCTTGCCTTGGAGGAATGCTGTACTGACATCTGCGCTGAAGCTTGTCCAACCATTGTTGGCGCAGATTGAGAGGATGTAGTTTCGTCCCATCCGACTCAGCGTTGGAGCATCAGTGCTGAGTTGGCCATTTAAGGCATCAGGATCTTTGAATCCTTGGGTGATGAGCCTTGCTTTTGCTCTGGGTTCACCGTTTGGCCATTTTGTCCACTTCAGGATGAAGTGTGCTTTGAGAGTTCGGTCGCTGGGGACCGTGCCGTTGTCTTTGACCATTTCCCACACGTCGTTCTGGAAGAAACTTTCCAGTTCTTTCCTCTTTGCCTCCATGAAGGCGAGGCGATCATGAGCGTCATCCTTCGCTCATTGAGCTGATCCTTGCGGGCTTTGACGCCCGGCATGCTGTGGCCTGGTGGGCCTGTTTCTTCGGCTGTGTGTGCCTGTTCGGTGGTATGCTCGACGTATGTCTGGTGGCCATGGCTGACATTGTAGAAAGCTTCATGAGCAAGCAGGCGGTAGGCCGGCATGATTTTGAAGCTCGTCTGTCCTGTCCAGGCATGTTCTGTGGTTATGTTGCCCTTCTTCTTCCATCTGTCGTACTTGTTGAGGTTGGCTGAACCGGTTGTGTGTCTGTCTTTGCTGATGTAGTGGTAGTGCAAAGGCAAAGGGCATCCAGCTGTTTCGTCGGCTGGGTCAAAGAGCTGGTTCCGTGGGATGTAGTGGCGACGTATCAGCTTGTTGTTCTGAATTGTCCATTCGTCCTTGCAGACGTCCAGGGTCAGGAATCCATTTTCTAACTTCCAGCCCGGTGGCAGTGTTGAGTCATCGACTCTGTTGAGATCGGTGTCGTAGGTGCTGAGGGTGAGTGCCATATCTGGATCCGGTGGTGCCGGTTTGGCATATGGTGTCGGACCTCGTGTGGTGTTGTGACCTCTTGCTTGTGGTCCGTATCGGTCGTGTCCAGATGCGGGTGGCTGGAGAGAGAGTGTCTCTTGTCGATCAAATCGCGTCCTCTGGTCGTGGAAGCTCTCTGTTGGCGCTGGTGGTGCATAAAGTTGCTGCTGATGTTCTGGAATTTGTCCACCATCATAGTGCACACTTGCCGTGGTGGCATGTGGTGTTGGTGCACCGTGTGTGCTCGGTGGTGGTTCTGGTTCGCCAGTGCTGTCCTGTTCTGTGATCTCTGTAATGTTCAGATCAACTGTTGGTGCTCCTGGTGGTGCCTCTTGGCGTGACTGTTCATGAGCTGCTGTTGTGTCGATCTGTGGTTCATCTCCAGGTGCATGTCCATCTCCATCCTCATCCATCGGTGTTGGGGTGGTAGTGGGAACATTCGGTGGACTGCTGCTGGAACCGCTATGTCGGTCTGTTCTCAGGACAAAGGTGGTGCTTCCTGTCCATTGGAATGGCATGGATCTGTTGGCATTTGGCAATGTCCAGTCATCTTGGAAGACTGTTCTGTTTCGGGCCGGTTGGTGTGGCCTCATGATGACGGTTCTCCGGATGTCCTGGAAGTTCTGCCACGGTGCTGTGTCGTCATTGTGTGGCGTGTAAAGTGCCTGTCTTGGACTTACATGGATGCGATGCCATGTAATACCATCTTCTTCGATGTCCCAGTAGTCCTGCTGGGCTGGTTGTGGATCTGGTGCCGTAGTTTCGGTGTCTGGTGCTTCTGGCATTTCTTCCTCATCATCAGTGACAATCTCTGTTCGTTTCCTCTTGTTGGACTTGATGAGGTCAGTGTACAGCGTGGTGCTTCTGCCTCGGATGTTGTCCAATGCTTGTCGTGCTCTCTGTAGTGGATCTGTGTCGCTCTGGTGGTTGAGGTCTGGTCGAAGATGTTCTCCGGAAACTCGTAGGAGTGTCGAGCCGTGTGTGATCCAATACGTGTTTGTTGATGGGCCAGTTCGGCCTGGTTCTGTCATCACGACAGTTGCTGGACCCTTCCATCGGATCTTTGGGCCTGCTCCTCCGGGGGCGTCTCTCCAGTAGTAGACCAGTTGTCCAGTGGAGTAGGTGTATTGTACTGCTTGATGCTGTCGGAGGAGTGCTCAGCGCAGTCGTGCATCGTTGTCTGCTTCGATCACTGAGATCGCTGCCTGTTTTTGCAGGTGTAGCTTTTGCTCCATGGCTTCTGAGGGCGTCAGCTGTGCTGTAGTGAGGTCGTGATCCATCAGGAGACCGGGTATGCGTGGTTGCATGCCCATAGCCCATTGTGTCGGACTGAAGCCTTGGACATTGGTGGTGTTGTTGATCTGGGGGATCACGTAGCATAGTGCCTGTGTGATCCGCTCACGGGTACTCATGCGCTGATCGAAGTCTTGTCTCTCTTGTTGTGCTGCTGTGAAGAGTTCGATGCCTCGTCGTAGGACTTGATGTCTTCGCTCAAGCACGCTTAGCCGTGTGTGTGCTTGGCCTGGTGAGATCTCCAGTTGTATGCCGAGGTCGCTGGTCCATGTTCTTGTGGTATCTGAGCTCCATCCTCTGTGATCGTCGACTTGAAGGAGTGTTGGTGGACCAAAGTGTCTGATCCATCCTCGTTCAAGTCCTCGGATGAAGTCATCCGATTGTTCAGAGTCAATGACCCGAGCGGACATGAACTTGGTAGTGGCGTCGATCATGCTGAGGACTGGAACTGCTTGTGGCCTGTGGCCATTGTGTAGTCCCGGTAGGTGTATCCAGACTGTGTCTGCTTGTACTCTGCTGTTGAAACTGCCTCCTGTTCGGAGTGTGCTCTTGGCCACTTGTGGTGGTGGTCGGTGTGCATCACATAGTTGGCAGTGATGCTGTTGCGCAGCTGCCACAATCGAAGGACTGGCATTCTTGCTCTTGAGGAGCTTGGCCAGCTCGAGATTAGTGGGGTGCCCAAGGTTCCGGTGGATCCTCTGGACTGTTCTCTGAGCTGCTGACCATTGCGTCTCTTGCAATCTGGTTAGTATGCCTCGATTGTTGTCAAACTGTTCGTCGTTGTCATAGACTTGTGGCTGTTGTTCTGCCACTGCCTGTTGTGGCTGTAATGCCACTTGCTGTTCTGCCGGTTGTTCTGCATCATGTTCTGCCGGATATGCTTCTTCGGTGGGTGGCCAGTACTCAGTGAGCATGAAGGTGTTCATGATCTGGGCCCACTCTCTGCACATGTCTGTGTTGTAGCTGCCAGCTGCTGCGGCTCTGTTGCCAATGTGTGGGGAGCTACCCTCAATAGGGAGGTGGTAGTGATTGCTGTGGCAGACTCGCTCGAACATAGTAGCCAGGGTGCTGTCTGTGATGCGTAGGTTCGTTGGCTTCTTGATGTATTGTTCGTAGCCATTGGAGTCTGGCAAGGTTGCTCCATATTGGCATTGGTCCACATGTGCATCATAGCCTTCTAGCTGTTGTAGAGTTGGTGTGTCCCAAGATGTTGCGTACTTGGGGTGTTCGAAGATGGAAATTCGCTTTTGCTTGTGTTGCTTGTTGTGGATTGTCTTGCTGAACCGCAAGTGGGTTCCTTCCTCATGCTGCTGCTGTGCTTCCAGTCGTTGCTGGTCTGCCGGTGTTTTAGCGTTCAATCGCTGCAGTGGGGACCATTTGGTGCAAGGTGGTGCAATCCAAACAATCTCTGGGCTCTGGTGGTAGTACAAGTGGATGAACTGCCTCTGGTGGCTGGGTTTGGTGAAGTCCCATCCGCTGAGGATGTCGAAGGTGCGGACTTTGTATCCCAGTTCTTCCATGTGTGTTGCTAGCACTGCGTCACCAGCATAGACTTCCCAGAATTGCATCTGGTGGCTGTCGTGTGCCGTGAGTGTTGTCTCGAGGGTGTGCTTGTAATGTCGTGCCAGCTGTTGTTGATGTAGTCGGAAGCTGCGGACCAGTTTGTCCGTCAAAGTTCTGCGATAGCAGGTGTCATCATCATCTTCTTCTGGGTCTGTGGTGTCGTTTGTGTCTTCCTCATTGAAGTTGTCGTCCTCATTGGCCTGCATGCCGTGTTCTCCCAAGTCGGGAGGTGCTAGGCCTGTGAGCTCAATGTAGTGCTGAAGCGTGTAGTGCTCTGCTTGTGCAGGGTCTTGCGTCAGCAGGTTGTAGGTCTCTTCCATCATGTAGTCAAACTCATAGCTGCTGTGGTCCGGTAGGTCGGTCAGCCAGCTGTAGGAGATGTTCTCCTCTGGAGCCGGTGATGATTGGTGACCATGGGCCTTCATCAACTCGCATGGTATCTTCCATGAAGTTGAGCTGGAGTTTCATGGCCTTGAGAATTGGCCTGCCGATCAGGAGAGGAGTTGATCCAGGAACAACGAAGGCCTGCGTGCGGCCGAGGTGCCCTTGGATGCATACTGGCATGTGTACTGTCCATTGTGCTTCGAGGCTGTTGTCTCCGCCAAACTGCAGTATCTTTTGCGCAGGACGGAAGTGGAAGCTTGAAACATCGAACCCTTGTTCGTGGTAGCTTTCGATGTAGTTCATGAGGATGTCATGGCCAAGGACCATGCAGCTTGCTCCACCATCCATGGTGCCGAAGAGTCCCTTTGGGATGCGCTGGTAGTCCTTCATTTCGAATTGGACCATCATGGCGTTTTCGGCTTTGGCCTTTTTGGCGGCATTGGTGGGGCTGTTGGTGGTGCTTCTCTTTTGAGTGCACTGTGCTGCAAAGTGTCCAGGTTGTCCACATCGTAGGCATGTCTTGGCTTGGTTCAAGGCTGTGCGGCCTGGACTCTTGGCATCACCTTTCTGTGGAGGTGACTTGAAGCCCTGCCCTTTTCCTTTTCCTTTTCCTCCCTTGGAGCGAGGAGGATATGGCCTTTGAGATGATGTTGGACTTGATGAAGTTGCGCCATCGGTCAGTGCGACCACTGGATAGAAGCCTCTGTTGTTGCGCAGCTCAGCAAAGCGGCGCCTAGCATCCAGGTAGGTGGCATAGGCTTCCTCATACTCAGGGTCTTCTTGATCCGGGTAGTCCTCATCGTAGCCGGTGTAGTTGGCTGTTTCATCGCCGAACTCTTCATCATATGCTTCATCAGCATACTCTTCTTGAGTTTCCTCATAGTAAGCCTCATCATACTCAGGCTCATAGGTCTCTTCAGGGTCGTCCATGTAGTCGTCCTCGTGCATGGTGTAGGCCTGAGCTGGTTTCTTCCATTTGTTGAAGCCTTTTCCTTTTCCCCCAACTGGTCGCTGGGAGAGTCCAACCTTTCCCCTGTAGTCCTGGCCGTACAGGTAGTACATGGCTTCTTCAACTTTACTTTCTTCGAGGCTGGAACCACATTGGCTTTGCACCAAGTGTTTCTGGTCTTGTGAGAGACCGCTTCTTCTCAGCATCAGCCAGCCAGTGATCTCGGTCGGCAATTTGCTGCCGTGTTTTTCGACTTCTCGGAGCGCTTCTCGATGTTCAGCGCAATACGACATCAGTGTCTGGTCGTAGCGCCTGGTGAGGCTGTAGAAGAACTTCTCGAATGATCTGGGCTGTTCGACCCGTGCATCGTAGCGGAAGGTCTTGTCGAGGATTTCAATCACCTTGGTGAACCCTCCTTCTTTGTCCTCGCTTGCCGATTCAGCTATCGGCTCGACTTGCTTCCAGGCTGTTCCTGACAGGGTTGTCAGGAGGTTGATGACTCCTTCTTGTGGCTTCTTTGCAGAACCATCTTCTTCTGGTAGAGGTGAATCCGAGCTCTCCATTCCTTGTAATCTTGAGGCCTGTTGCTGAAGGTCGGCACCCAAGAATCTTTACTTGCATCCACACTCGAGGATGCTGCAGCAGTTGAACTTGCCATCGAGCTCGACCGGGAGGTAGTAGCTAGCAGCAAGCAAGCTGGAGCCCTGAGCCTTGCGGCTCCGCTACCAATTTGAGGTTGGGTAGCTCAACCGTCGGAAAGTGACTCTCGAAGTTCACGATCGCAAATGAAAAACCGCTCTCAAAAGCAGCCGCGGACTTTTCGCGGACTCGTGGCCATCAGGCTTCAAGGTGCGCATGCCCTCCCAGCTATCGGGAGGAAAACAGGTGGTTCGAGCAACAAAGCGGCAAAGCTTCGGCTTCAGTGAACCTGTGCAGCAGCGAAAACATGTGATGGCATCACATTCACAGTATATATATATATTATACATATGCGTCTATATATACATATAAATATAGTTAAGTTATCAAATCGTCTGTGTATAGGGCGTATATATGGAGTATGAGTATCCATATTTATCCATCATACGTAAGATGTTCAGCTGCCCTTCGCATCACATCGACTGGCTCACCATCTTCCCAAAGGCCTCAAGCGACAAAGGTAAGCCTGTCGAAAAGCATTCATTGGAGCCTACCGGAGTCGACTTCGGAGCCGATTCTCCTACTTGAGTCTTGAGCAGCAAGAGCCAGGGAAGGTTGAACACAAACTTGACAAACCATTTGTCGAATGTTTGAAGTTGTTTGATGGGTCCATCCAGTCGCAGGTGTTGCCAGTTTTTGACTAGTCCTGTTCCTGGGAAGCATGAATGAAGCGCTCTGAGTGCACGGCGACGGCCACTGTTTTCAGCACCCAAGTTTTTGAAGTCTTTACAACATAGCTGCAAGACCCTTGGAGGTTGACATTAGGAAAACAATCGCCTCAAAAAGGTTGTGCAAAAGTCTGCCAAGAAGACAAGCCGGGACAGATTGGCTTGTTGGGAAGACAGGTTGTTGAAACAATCATTGAAGTCATTCTGAAGTCATTCACATGCAGTGACTCTCACTGGCTGTAGTAGTCCCCAGTGGCCAGCTGCTGTTGAGCATTGCGACCAAACTTCGCGTCACGACACGCAACTTCAAGTAGTGCACTAAGAGGTACAGTGGTAGCCCACACCAAAATGCAATTTTAGTATAAACATGTCCTATGAGAGTTCAGCTGCTAAATGTGATGGCCAAAGGAGCTTTAGACACATAGTTGAGCATCTGGAACCTACTTTAGCAATGGCTTTTCACAGCGGCCTATGCCGCTGCTGTACTGTGTGGCCTTTGTGTTTGTGGCTACGCACCTCAATCTGATCATCAAAAAGCGTGCATCGCCTCCAAAAAGGACTGGCTAGGTCATCGATCCACGACCAGCCTCCGAATTAGCTCCACTCAGAAAAGCACCAAAAGGACATAGGCCTATTCTTCGAGGCCGATGTCGAAGCCCCACCAAGCACTTCGAGCACCCTCCTCCAAGGCTGAACAATCTAGAATGCGCAAGCATCTCAATTCCATCAGACTGCAAAGGATGATATATCTCTTTGTCTTCGAAACACACATCGCACAGCCTGACATCCTCCAAAACAATTGGCCGCATTCCCCGTCCTCTGGGATGGATGCCAAGTGTCTGGCTTCACTTTCCCACTGTTCGCGCAGCAAGCGGACACAGTGTGCGCGAAGCCCTGGCTCAGGCAAATAGCTGCATGAGACCACTTCGGGCGGCAGCAGGAAGCCTGGCCAGAAAACAATCCGGCAGTGCTGAGCTGCAAGGTGAAGCAGCGGCAATGGCAATAGGGGACGATCAGCCAAGAAAGAGAGAGGAAGAGAGAGAGAGAGAGAGAAGCGCACTGCAAAAGCAAGCATTCAAAGCAGCTCTGATCATTCACAACCTAAACAGGAAATCTACTGCCTGCTGAAGCCGCAGCGTGATAGCACAGCAAGCCGCGGCTCTCCCCTCCAACCGCTTGCGCAATTTCTTGGCGAGGGGACAACGGCAAAACTGAGCGCCATGCACAGTGGAGTTCTTTGTCGACTCGGTCTGCCGCCCACTTTACGTACAAGCGACGTCTCTGCAAATGCCAACGAGCTTTCTTTGAGAAGTTCGAGAAGCCCTCGAGCGTCTCGGTCGCCATTGGTGGCGCCATGGCCTTCTTGATCATTCGCCCCCCGAGGCGGCTGTTTCTAGGCAAAGCCATGGCCACAAAGATCGTGAGCATCATGGTGGGCGAATGCCGGATGGTCGGTCCATAGACACACATGGCGACCAGAGGACACAGCAATGGCCATGTCATGCTCAGCCATGTTGGAACTCCCAGAACATCTCTGCTATTCACAGACTTCTGAGAGTCAACGTCTTCCCGCAGTTTCGGGAGGCCATCCTGCAACATTGCTCAGGACTGTCCTCCCTTCCCGACCCTGGAGAAAATGGCCACATGAATGACAGGATGCTCCAAGGCTTCATGCATGACAAACAACCTCCAGTCCAAAAAGCAATGAGAATGATAAACCCAAATCGTGCAGACCAATCCAATCGCAAGACTTTGCGGTCCTCGCAATGAATACCATGGTCAAGAGTCTCCACAATCCTTGCCCCTTTGGCATTAGATGCACAAATTCTGCATTCTGCGTGCATCACAGCTTTGCTGTGGACCCGGCATATGAAATAGCAGAAGTGCAAACTAACTAGTGGAGCACGTCGCATGTACTGGTACACCGCAAGCCTCATGGCCGCTCCAACACACCGCTCTTTATGCTCTTTGTCATCCTGTACACAACATTGACATCCATTCTTCAAACATTGGAACCCATGGGTTCCTGATTTCACCACGCCATCTGTGTCACGATCGAAGTCACCACAGCGTCACGCTGCGCCGGCGACCTGGTTCATCGCCGACCTGTTGGTTTCATGCCACGAAAAGCGCGAGTCTCTGACCCCACAAAGGTGGCCTGACTCTGACAAGCTCTTTAGAGATCTTTTGCACCCACCTGAGATCAAAGAACTTGTAGCAAGGACGCTATGCTCGGTGGAGGCCATCGCAAGTAGCTTGGAGGCCATCGCTACTAGGAGCAAGAAGCTACTAGTAACAAGAACTTAGTTCCAAATGGTTCAAACAGATCTCTGCAATCTCGACTTTTCAGCCAAGTGGCCGCCATCAGGGCCTGAGTGATCCCCGCATCTATCATCAATCATCAGGTGTTTTATCAATAGAAATCAAATAAACAAATACATAAAAACAAAAGGTAGATTGTGATGTAAAATCGTGATGAACTGCAGTAAGAATACTTCACTTCGAGCTACAATCGCCCCATCTAACCAGGTCTGTCCCAATAAGAATGTCTATGCCAATGCGGTGGTCTTTGTCTGCCGTCGTGCCTGTCCTGCTGTGTTCTTAAGCATTATTAGGGTTAAGGTTAGGGTCATGGTCATCAGTGGTGTTGCCATTTTTCGGTGCTCACATCTCCAACGTGTTGCCAATACTAGCAGGCCCTTGCATCCGAAGCAAGGGCTCCGAAGTTCCCGGAAGCGGCTCAGCTGATCATCTACGATAGCCTACGTCTTCCTTGTCAAGGAAAATAGAAATGTCTTACCAGTACTATGTATCTATATAGCAGTGAGTGATATGATAACACAACATTGCACAACGTCCTTCAAGGCAAAGACAAACATAGTTGATTTTAAAAAATGATAAATATGTTTTCTTTGATGCAAATCAATGTGTTCTATCTTCGGTTTGTTTGTTAGAAATCCTTGTTTTTCTTCGTGGATATGTTCTTCTTTTGAATAAGATGTCCCGGCGCCGGTCAAGCCACTGGTGTGACCACCGGGTCGGGCCACTGGCGGGATGTCTGGTGCTTATGTTTGGTGTGGCTCTTGTGTGTGTGTTGTTCGTATCATTTCTTCTTGTCTCTTGTCTTGTCATTGGACTTCATTGGACCAGCCAGGTCAAATAGGTCCAAAATAGCGGAGGTCACGATGTTTCTATATGTTTCTCTCCTCATGTCCTGGCTACCCCTCTTGACTCCGGCAGTGGGAGAAGGAGAAAAAGAAGCACTGACGCCGTCCACTCCTCGCTGTTTGCGACGCGCCTGGGGATCGATCCCGTGGACCTTCCAGCTCAGGACCAGGACCAGCCTGGCAAAGCCCAAAGAATCCTGTGTCACTATGGACACACTTGACATTTGTCAATTGAAAAAACCATGGAAGGAGAGGAACTCACAGAGTCCGAAAGAAGGCGTCATATGTGTTCTTCAGTATCATTCGGCAGCATTGAGTTCTGTGGCTCACACCCGCCCCACGGACCTGCAGTCGCATGGCGCACGTCTTTTTCAGTGCCCGTTGTCCCAAGAAAGGTTGAAGGACTGAGTGTAAGGCGCATGAGCCCCAAAGGTGGTGGAAGCACCAAAAGTACCAGAAGCAGCCAATGCGGCACCTGACGAAGGTGTTAGATGGTCTTGGATTGGTGTTGGGGGATGCTTGACCTATGCTGACATGGCAATCAGAGGGCGAGCCTGGCCCAAGGGACTCCTGATGGATGAGGAGTCTTCTGGGAGTTGGCATGCAAAGAATTGCAGAGAGGTCTTCTTCTGTGCAAATCGGCAATGATTTGCGACAGAAGCACTCGATGAGCTCTATAACCAGTTGACATATGTGGCCGAAGCGAACAAGTCAAGAGTTCATGCACCAAGAACGAAAAGGTGACGAACTTCCAGCAAGTCCTCCCCGGCTGGCACCATTGGTCCATGCGCAAAGGATGGTGTCGCCCTTAGGGTAGGTTACAATCACCCTTTGCTCTGTCACTTTCAGAGCCCTGACATCGAAAGCTCTCCGGAATAGTCTAAGGCGGCCGCACACCGAAGTTTCCGGTTCCACCGCCCACGGTCAGGCTGCCATCCAGGTCTAAGCTCCACAGATCTCGACAGCCCCAAACTGGCTCACTGAGGATACGACTTGGAACGGCACTGACTCGTGAGGGAGGACAGGGCCTCGGCTGCTCGCAGCGGCCCGGTGCCCCGTGGCAGACGACAGACGAAGCCCGGAAGCCGCCTTTGGCAGGCGACGCCAAGAAAATAGCTAAAGAACTATCAGGAGCAGCTCCAATTTCAGTCTTGGCATTTCTTGGCACACAGCCACAAGTGTCTGCATCAACTAATTCAGATTCAAAATGTCCTTCCAAGCCAATCTGAAAGAAAGAGTGGGGTTTCTCACTCATCTGGATGTCCACACGAACGTGCAGGCCGGTTGAAGGCCCGAAGGTTCTACCAAGATATCCGGATGTCCAAATCAAACATAGAACACCAAAAATTGAAGCGCATGCTACAAAGGCCTCCTCATAAACAGGCTGCACAACCAGTTTCTAAACGACATCTGGGCTTCTGCGGTCAAGACGGCTGGGATTCAACTCTCGGCTGCTCCACATTCCAAAAAGTGTTTGACCTACCGCTTCAGAGCAGCCTGCGACAAGCTTCCATTTGCCTGCAGCCTCCAGCGCCACAAGTGCCAGCAAGCAGCTCGCCAAATCTAATCCATTTGACCGTTCCAAGGCTTGTACCAAATACAATGCTTCAGGCCATTGCCTCTCAGGGAATGGAATGGCGTGGAGGACTCTGAGGAGGGGATGCAAAAAAGAACCACGGCTGGAAATGGCTCACCCTCTTCAACAGGATTCACTAGCATATGGCGGTATGATGAACAGAGAAGACATGATGATCATGATATGTGGGAAAGCATGCTCCGCTCACAAGGTTTCTTATTTCTTAGCCTTCAGAATCCCAATATATCCCAATCATCCTGCTGCCCACTGCCCCCGCCATCTCCACCTGGCCCTCCAACAAGCTGTGATGGCCGAGTTGTAACCAATCTCATCGGTGCTCATGGCAAGAGCTGGCATGGTACGCACAACTGCCACACTCCACTTCCAAGACCTGCCCCTCTCGCATGCAGCAACCATAGCATTGCAAATCACTTGTGTTGCAACTGTTGCAATGACCATATTGCCTCTGTTCTCCAAAGCAGCTTGCCAAAGACCAGAATGGCTCACAGCAGAAATCCGAACTGCTTCAGCAGGCGTACCCAGCAAGAGCCGAGTGAAGTGTGCACCTTTGATGAGGGACAGCGACCCTCTCCATGCACTTCCCTCTTCTAAGGCGCTTGTGGCTGCATTTGCGCTAACAGGATCTACCAGGACACTGACGTCGCGCATTCTGTGTAGAAGCCTCAGTGTGAAAGTCCATGGAGAGGCACCCATGACAATGGTATAACTCATCGGCTTCGTGTCTTCCAATTGGCTGAGAAAAAATGCAGAAAGCTCCCAGGAGTTGTGTTTCTGACACTTGGCCATCAATGCGTTGATCACTGCACGGTAGCCAGCTGACAATTGAAGAGCACCAGCCAAGGACATGGCCCGCTGCCAACTGGCGTCTGCCCGACAAGAGTGCACTGCAGCGCTTCGTGCAACGTCATTTCCCTGTAGAGCTTTTTGCTGCATGCTAAACATGCAAAACGTTGCTTTACGCCATTGCGTGGCATCGGCATAGGAGCTGATGGCTGTGCTGCAGGTCACCATGTCTATTCTCGTGGACCTCGTTGCAAAGATTGCAAGCAAGGAAGACCCCCGAATCCAGTCCTGCCGACGGCATGCGCTTAAAACTGTGTTGAAACTGCAGGCATCAAGCTTGATCTGCCTCAAGGTCATCCAGCCCACGGAATCCAATGCCAAACGCCATCGGGCAGCTTTGTCCAAAGCACTGAGAATCGAGTTCAAAAACGACGGCGCGATCGTCCAGCACGCGTGAAGCGATTGCAAGGCCTGGAGCGAATCCACAGCCCAAATCCATGAGGCTCTTCGTGACAAAGCCACCAGAGCCGTGCGAAGCATTGGATCTGGGCGGAGACCATGCGGAAAAAGGTGGCTCACCAGATGCAAGGCATAGAACCATTTCATAATACCATGGGGCAAACAACAGAAGCGGCAAACCCACTGTGCAAAGAGCCTCTTGCAGCAAAATGTTGCCAGGTCGTCGGCGCAGCAAGGGCTGTTCAGTAAGTGGGAGCAAGGGCGAGGGGGATCTCATGGTGTGCTCGGTTTTGGGGGGGGCTCCAGCAAGCAAGTGTGAGGCATTGTTGCAACATGCAATGCGCAACCGAGATAAGCTTGTGACAACCGACCACCAGCGCCCGGAGACCTGGATGAGGTTCTCGAACCCCTAGGAGCAGGCGGATTAGGAGGTCCAAGCGACTCGGATGCCGATTTTACCTCCCTAGCCTTGCATGCCTAATTTCTTAGACTCTTTGCTTTACAGGATTTGGGGTACATGCAACTAACTGCTAACCATGTATTATTATTACAACTAAACAGAACATCAAAGACCTCGAGCTCAACCACAACCACACATTTTGATACATTTTGATGCATTCCAAGATAGTCCAAGGTATGAAGGGCTTTGTTCCGCCCTTGGGACCACACAAAGATCACCTCCGGTACCTCTGTCATGCCGCAAGGACTTATGTTTTTCTTGGTCCCTGGTGACGAGGTGCCCGGTGGATCTTCCAAAGCCATCAATAGCTGGCAAAGTGGCCTGGCCGGGACAAGGAGGCAAGCGGAAAACATCTGAAACCCCAAACATGGCAGGTGAACAGCGCCAGGCCTTTGCCCAAGGGCCAACGGGTGATTGCATGCAATGATCGACATCCCTGGACTCTGAGGCTCTTGCGGCGGTGGCGGTGGCGTGGACGCGCGAGGTGGCGTGTTCGACCGTGAGACGCTGGGCCTCATGCGTCATGCCCCATGAGACGCTTGGGCGCGTGTTGAAGCTGGGGCACGAACGTATTGCCAGGCGTACATGCAGGCGACCTGGAGTTCAATCTATGTCACCCAGGTCTTGGAGTTTTCCAATCGCCTGCCTCAGTGCCTTTCTCGGTCAGTGCCCGTTTGTCGGTCGGTTCTTGTCCCTTTCTCCTTCCCTCTCTTTCTTTCTTTTTCTTTCTTTCTGTCTGTCTCTCTCTCTCTCTCTATCCCTCCCTCCCTCCCTCTCTTCTCATCAGCAACGAGTTCGGCACACGCTTCGGCCTGACCTTGCCGGGCAGCCTTGGCACACTACATAAATAATATAAATATAAATCAATATAAAAGGCATACATGCGTGGCGTGCGCATATAGTGAGGTACATTACATGTGTTATCTGCCAAGGTGGACAGAATAGAATAAGAGTAAGAGAGCCATGCAGTGCAATCTCGCTACAATGCGGGCCTGATGTCAGGGCAGCCTGCCAAGTAAGTAGCAAGTGTTTGCAAACTTCTTCCGCTTGCTGGGAGAGGGCTGGGCCTGCAGGTCGAGCAAATCTCGCGAGCCAGGGATGGCCTTCAAACCTCAAATGACAGGACAGGCTTGTGATTGCGCATGAGTTCACATTCTTCCAAAAGAATCTCAGAACTATTATATACAGTAGTTGGCTTGCTTTCTTCTTAATTAGCCTCCTAAGGCCTACCCAGCCTACCCCTCCTCCCCCCAAAAGGTCATTTGTTAGATAGGTGTGCATGCTTTGTCATCGCTTCTTCCTTCTTTCTCTCTTGGATTCGGTGCCATTCTGTAGCTCCTGCATGGCCTCGCTCTGCCGGCCAAGCCTTGGCCGTTGGCTCAGTCATGTCTCGTTTGTTCGAGTCCGAAAGCGGCATCAGCGGAGAGTCCAGTGGCCATTGGGTCTCCGGCTCCCAAATGGCTTTGACCTCAGCCGCACCCCTTGAGAAAAACATGGCGGCCATGAGCCGTCAGAGTCACAATATGTGACAATGCAAGCTCACAGAGCATGTCAGGAGTCAGGCCAACAGCAACCAGCCCTTCACATAGTGTCGATTCAGCTGGATGCAATGCTGCGCATCCTGCGCATTCTTGGGTCTGGGAGGCTTGCTGAGCTCTTGCCTTCATCTACTGGAGCCCTATTTTTGAAGACTCGACACCAGCGCCTCCCGGCACTTGACCCAATCCTCCACCGCCTGCCAGGCGCACACTGGATATCAAGCTACGAGTACTGGATTCACGCCCATGGTATCTTTGTTTGGGTTTCGTCAAGGCCAATGGATTCAAGTCATTACATCTAAACACCTATCATACATATTTATAGCAGTATTATAACAATTCATTCTATATGCACATATGATATACAGTACATATGTTATATGTTCCCTGTATACCCCATCTTCGGAGTTGTGTTATCAGTTTTCTCAGCACAGCTTACATTGATTTGCCCCATGCCTTGTAGCAAAGGGCACGGTTCGCAAACCTTGGTCGTTTCACCAACTCCACGGAGACGGAGACCAAGCACTTCCGGAGACGGATGGCGAACACGTTGCGCCCAGGCGCAGCCGGTGGTCGTTGGGAAGAAACTGCAAAGCCTCGTTGGTGGGTGAGGCCACGGTGTCCAGTGGCAAAGGATCAAAGGATGATGTGTCAAGGAATGTTAAGGAAATGTCAAAACCGCAACGACTCCAACACCACGCCTTTCCGTACTCCACCATGGCTGACTGGTAAAGTTTTACAGATTCTTGCCTTGGAAGAGACAACGTGACCTCGTCTAATAATCACTGTCCAAATTGAGGCAACAACACACCCCTGAGGTTGGTAAAGGGGTCTGCATCCTTTCCCATTTCGCGAGCCTCACCGCCACAATTCGAGTGCGAGTTCAAACGCTCAGAAACCGCCCATTCAAGTGCATTCAATGCCCAAATTCGGCTGGAGTCAACGGAAACCACTCCAGGCCTTGCTGTACAATTCATTCCCCCGTCGCCGAAATACGTTGGACCTAGCGCAACAACTCACTGAGCTGGGAGTGGTCGGATCTACGCCGGCCTATCTAAAGCTGAAGTGGCCGCCTGCTCATCAAGATGGGCTGGTCAGGACTCTCATGAAGCACTTCAACACTCCACCCCCTCCCACCTCAAAGCCTTCTGGCAAGTAGCTGCCCGACATCGCAACGTTTGATAGATTTCAGTGCCTCAGGTCACAGGTCAGCTTGAAACAAAGCTAGAATTGTGCATTAGCAAGAGTGAAACCGAACGAAGCTTGGCCTAGGGCTACCTCCAGCCCATGATGCTGCTCACAAAGGCCACAAAATCAAACTTAAGCGGTTTGCCAGAGTTCTGGGTTGAAAGCTCTTTCTCCGCCGACTGTCTTTGATGTCCTGTGTACCGGTGCTTTTCTGTGGTTGATCTGCTCACCTCGAGCGTTGTTTCCTTTGATCAGGACAGCAGCAGTGTGGAGCAGTGCATGGAATGGTATTCTTGCAAGTTCAAAAATTCACCCGTTTTTTGGCAAAAGTCTTTCTGGAGTTACACAGCATAAGTTGCAAAGGGCTCCATTTCCAACCGATCAGTCGTGAAACGGTGAGACGCTCAACCAAAATAAAGCCCATCAGCAATGATTCTGAACTCCCTCTCATGATGATTTTTTCTTCGAAGTCGCCTCACACGAGTGAAAAAGTGGGCACAGCTCGCTACTCGGCGTGTGCATTCAAAAAACCGTGTCTAGGGCTTCTACTCTACTACTTCGGTTAGAGCGCTTTTAAATCAGCAGGGGGGCGTAGCGTGTTCAAATGACTGCGCCCAATGAAGCTAGTCTGAGCACGGGATACCAGGATTGGCCATCCTGGCGTACCTGCAATGATTTTTAATACTCGCGTTTCGCCTTCGTCCCACCCATGTTAAACAATACTGTAGATGCAGACTCCTTCACCTTTCGGTTCAGCAGCCAAGGTCTAATCTGCAGTAAGCGTAAAGTGTGATGCTCACCGCGAACCACTGAAGCTTTTCCCACTGTGTGGTAAGCTGTGTGATCCCCACAGGGGCGCCGATACTGAGTCCTTACTCCTACACAGGGGTGAATTTTCAGCAAAGTCCTTTCTGGACCTCTTCTTGGCGCAGACTTCTCTTGCTTGAAAACAAATTTCAAGAATCTGTTTCACCCTGAATCCGGAATCTATGCTGCAGAGCTGCTGCAAGATGACACCTGAAATTGTTCGAATCGTTTCACACGTGAAAAACTTGAGTGTTTAACCTAATTGGCACGTTGCACAGTTGCACGGAAGTTTTTGTCATTTTTCTCTCTTTCCTCTTTCGTTTTTCTTGCTGTCTCTCTCTCTTCCTAGAGGCTTAGCTTGTTAGGTGTAACTCGGTTTCAGTTCACCAGTTCCTGCAGGATCCTAACTTGTCGGTAATTTGCCGTTCATTCGGCACCCTTGCTCGGAAGATTTCTGACTAACAGACTACGTGCACCTACTTTCACTCTTGCCCTCTTCCTTTGCTTTGCTTCTCCCTCCCTCTTTCGTTCTCAGGCTTGTTCGGTGGCTACTCAGGTGTTCAGCACGCTTCTAGCAGCGCCGCTTCGGCGCATTGTGTGTGTGTGT